ACTGCAATTAGATTTAAATTTACATGGGATCCAAGAAGATATTTATTTTCTAAATAGACAGAGTTTTCCATAAAATATGCATATGGTTAACATTAAAATACCGATGTCAAAGTGACACATTAATTGTTATAACTTATCACATTACTTGAAGTCCTATTTTTTTTTTCACATCTTCACACGGCTAAGATCATTTCAAGTCACATCCTCTTCAAAAGACAAAATCATGAAAGTAGTCTACTTTATTCCAACCATTTAGAAAGGTAGAGAAATTAATTTATTTTAATAGCATTGGTTAATTCGAATATTTATTTCACATCTGATAAATTAAACCAATGAATTGCACCACGTGATGTTCAAATAGAAACAATCTTATCAACTTAGCCTCGTCTTCATTTCTAGTGTCCAAAAAATCCATAGATTTTTGTATTATATTATACCCTTCATGCCTCGTTTCCATATCATACTCAATCTAATCTCGATTTTATTTTTGGGAGTCAAAGAGTCAATATCAAATGCTTATTATACATGTCTAATGTACTTGGTGTAAAAAGTTCTGTAAAAATGCAAAAAATGATGGTGTGAAATACAGGATTCATTATACATTATACTGTACAATACTTATTCTGTTTGACTCGTACATAGCTGCAAAAAAACCTATACCAGACTCTGCTAGAGCCTCGTCCAATATAGGCTTGACAACTGTGTATTCGTACAATATATTCAGTATTGTACTCATCAATGTACATGTTTAACAGCCTCATGACTTTGTAACGTAAGACAACGTTTGTATCTTCGTAATACTTAAAGATTCACAGATGTGAAAATTTTGACAGGTAATATGACCTACCACATATAAAATGTTCAGGTTTAGATAATATAACCAACAACCGTTTGTGTCTATATGACCTGTCCAATGTGTTGTTTTTATAATATACGATGATTTTTTTATATAAAATACGTATGTACAATGCTGCAATATTGATTTAATTTTGTAATCTGAAAACTATAATATTTCATAAACTTTCTTAACTAAGCAGTGTTCACAGATATTACAAGTCTTACGTTTACGATAATAAAGGAAATCGAGATATAAATTTGTAGTAGTCTCTTAAATTTGTCATTTTTATGAACACTGGTCATGCAAACATCTGCAAGTAGCGGTCATTTGAACAATGTGAGTTATAGGTTTCAAAACGTATTGACATGTACAATGATTTTTCTTCTTTTTTTTTAAAAAAATACTTTTAGAGAAATGAAAGCTGATTGAAGACAGCTAATTGTCACTGTCACAGTGATACTTTTTAATCATGACAGAATGGTGATGTTTCGTTTATGTTATGTGTGTAACTGTATGTTTAGATGTAATATTACACTGTTGAGATTTTGACAGCTTGTTTTGACCTTTATACATCTTTAAACATCGGACAGCGCGAACGTTTTAAAATCTTTAGATAAAAAAGTATGCGTTATACGATGTATGAAACTTTACAGAGTCATCTAAATATTGAAATTGTGAATTAAATAAATAAAATTATCGAAACACGTGCTAATACCCCTAAAATATTGAAGAACAAAAAATAATCTACCTTGATTTTTGTAATGTTTCCAGTGGTCCACGTGTAACTAAACCTTTCTTTTTCAAAACACTGACTTAAACGTGAAAATAAACTTCTTAATTATCACCTGTCAAAATAGCACTTTGTTTACTAATTCCCAAATGCTACGCTAAAAAAATAGTACTCTAGATAAACTTTTGAGTAAATATTTAGACGTCTGATTAATGTTGGCTAACTAACGCTTAATACTACTTTCGCTGATGAATATTATTATAAATTCCACTAAAGGTTGACCTGACACTGGCGGATTGATTGCGCTTTTGGGTATAACTTTATAAATCCCAATTTTAGTTGGACAGTGGATCGATCATAAATTAATGTACAAATGTAGTTATCATTAACGATAAATGAACAAATTAATGCACCGCATTATCTCCTGAAGTTAAAAACACGCGTTACTGTTCCCTACCGACTTTTAATATTGTTTGGTCATCAACTGCACATAACGTGTAAATTTGATGCATGACCAGAAAAGTTTGATGCTAGACCATGTAGACGTTTTATATATGTAACGAAGTTGCTGATACATGTGTATATGACATATTGGATAGAAATTTGTATTAAAATGGTTGATATATGACATACAATTTGATATATGACATAAAAATTTTGAAATACGACATACAATTTGACACATGACATAAAAAGTTGATATATGACATAAAAGAGGGCCCTGAAGTCGCTCACCTGTATATTGGCCCCCGGAGCGGGGCCAGTTGAAACCCCAGGGCTTTTATTTGAACAAACTTGGTAGACACCCATCTACGGTCTAGCTGGTCAATTTTTTTCTTTACACATATAGTTAAAAACAATTTGAACTATCTTTGTAGACACTCACTAGAAGATGCATCGTACTTATTATCTTAACTTAAGCTATTTGAGTTTTTTCATGAAGATTTTTTAAGTTTTTGTTATTCACATATAAGGAAAATGAATGACTTTTTGTCATACACAGATCTTCACGTAAATTATGTTGAAGAAACAAATCGTTGATATTCTGAAGTTAATAATATTTTGAGATTGTAAAGTATCAAGTGTAATAAATGACATATTTTCCAAGGTTGAATGATTTATAATGGTCAATTTTTCTTTTTACCACTTGCATTTAAACATTTAAGTAACGTTTTATTCATTGTACCACAAATTAACCTTCTGTAGGAAAAACATGCAATAGTTCGATTATATTGAGGTCATATTTTTTATTATTTTTTTTTTAATACAACAACCTTTTAAAGAATAATTGTGAAGCTAAGGGGGAAAACTCCTCAGTGAATAAAACAGTAACTGCTGTGAGACTGTGGAGTTGTCTCCCTTTGAGGTAAAATTCTTTTAGAATGGCTTTCATGTATTTTATGTTTGTGTTTAACGTTTTATATGTAATTTTATGTATACATGTAAAGATGAGACTGAAATAAAGAAAAAAATATAAAAATATACACATAAAAGGAAAATCAATGTAACCCGGGCGGGGCCAATTTTGACCCCACGGCTCTTATTTGAACAAACTTGGTAGACAACTATTAGAACATGTTTCATGCTAAATATCTTCGCTCTAGCTCTTTGGGTTCTTTAAAAGAAGATTTTTAAGTTTTTACTATATGCATATAGTGAAAATAAATGACCCCCTGGGGCGGAGCCAAATTTGACCCCAGGGCTTTTATTTGAACAAACTTGGAAGACACCCATTAGATTATGTTTCATTCTAAATATCTTAGCTCTAGCTCTTTGGGTTCTTTAAAAGAGATTTTTTAAGTTTTTACTATATGCATATAGGGAAAATCAATGACCCCCTTGGGCGGGGCCAATTTTGACCGAAGGCATTTTATTTGAACAAACTTAGTAGACACTCACTAGAAGATGCTTTGTGATTAATATCTAATCTGTAGCTATTTGAATTTTTTTTCAAAGAAGATTATTTAAGTTTTTGTTATACACATAAAAGGAAAAACCAATGACCCCCGGGGCGGGGCCAATTTTGACCCCAGGGCTCTTATTTTAACAAACTTAGTAGACATCAATTAGAAAATGTTTCATGCTAAATATCTTAGCTCTAGCTCTTTCGGTTCGTTAAAAGAAGATTTTATAAGTTTCTTTAAAAGAAGATTTTTAAGTTTTTACTATATGCATATTGGGAAAATAGACGACCCCCTGGGGCGGGCCAATTTTGACTCCAGGGCTTTTATTTGAACTTGGTAGAAACCCATTAGAACATGTTTCATGCTAAATACCTTAGCTCTAGCTCTTTAGGTTCTTTAAAAGAAGATTTTTTAAGTTTTTACTATATGCATATTGGGAAAATCAATGACCCCCTGGGGCGAGGCCAATTTTGACCCCAGGGCTGTTATTTGAACAAACTTGCTAGACACTCATGCCAAATATCTAAGCTCTAGCTCTTTGGGTTTTTTACAAGAAGATATTTAAAGTTTTTTTCTTTTGGTTGCCATGGCAACCAGAGTTCTGCATGGAATGGAATTCTTCGAACAACTTTTATAAGGCTTCATACAAGGAACATCCCTGTGAAGTTTCATTATGATCTGCCGTATGGTTTCAGAGGAGATCTCGTTTTAAAAGTGTGAACGGACGAGGTATGACGGACGACAGACGAAAAGTGATCCCAATAGCTCACCCTAAGCATATGCTCAGGTGAGCTAAAAAAATTTATTTATGGCTAATTATGCAAGACATGACAGCCCGACAAAGAAATGGAAAATGTGCATGAAAGGTTGATAGATGGAATAAAATTTTGATGTTTAAAATATGTCTTGACAATGAAAGCGGAAATATGATAACTGGCATAAAAAGATAACTTTTGTAACGTGAATATTTATTAAGAAGTTCTATACTCCAGATGTCACTACTGTTGTCATACGGGGAAACATGACCGTCACCTGAGATGAGCTGGAACACGTGCCTCCTTGGTGTTGATAGGTAATCAGCCAATAAGCATCAAAACCATCAGTCGAAGGAACTCGGGATCATTAACTAATAATTACTTCAACAGCTTTCTTTACAATAATTAGTGGCAACGTAGCTGATTGGTTAACGGGTCAGACTAGTTATCTAAGGACTGCTGACCTCGTGGGTTCAAATCGGATTTGAAAGGGTTTCCATAAGCTTATAGCTTCCAACACAATCAAACAAAAACAAATTTGAATATACTAAATAGTGGTTCAGACAAAAAAGTGAAATATTCAGACTGCACTTTGCATGGCCATCGACATTTACGATATTTTTAGCCAGCAAAACAACAATCCTGATTAAGTAACAACATGAATATATATATGTAAAACACAAAGGAAAACAGAGACATTATTCAAAGGTAAAGATTCAAACATAGCTTCTAACATCTTGGTGTTTATGAATAGAAATAAATAACTACATGTATCCGTTTAAAATCTATTCTGTTTCAATGCAAATAAACAGCTCACTACTGCGAACACAATAGGTGAAATAGAGTTGGTTTTACACAAAAACCTGATATGAGCCGTATCAGGACAAACCAACATAGTGGGTTTGCGACCAGCATGGATCCAGACCAGCCTGCGCTTCCGCGCAGTCTGATCCAAATCCAGGCTGTTCGCTATCAGTTTCTCTACTTGCTATAGGGTTTTCAGCATGGATCCTGATCAGATTTCACGGATGCACAGACTGGTCTGGATCCATGCTGGTCGCAAACCCATTAAATTGGTGTTGTTATGATGCGGCTCAATTATGTCTTTTCCTGATTGTTTCTTATTCTAATAGTAACTTTATAATCAATGTTTATGAATTGTATGTTATAAGAATAGTTCAAAGTTTCTACCAAAATAAAAGTACCCGTAGACTTTCAATACATTTCATTAATTAAGACTTAAAATAAAACACAAAGCTGAACACATTCTGGCTTTCTAAATCAACTCCACTTTCACTGTATCCACCATTTTCTTTAATCATCTCTGAAAATGAAAAGAACAGATTGAAAACATAGGTCTTCTAACAGATCATTATTTGATCAGCGCCATGACAAAACATAGTGTGTTTGCAACCAGCATTGATCAAGACCAGCCTGTGCATGTGTGCAGTCTGATCAGGGTCAGTGATGTTCGCTATCACTTTCTCTACTTGTAATAGTGTATGTAAGCTAACAACATGGATCTTGAACAGACAGCGCTGATCCATGATGGTCGCAAACGCACCACGTTGGTTTTGTCATGGTGGGGTTCATATTTTTAAACTTGTAATAGTTGGACACAGGTTCTGTAAGGTCAATGTCATTGATAAAAACACTGCATGTCTCCAGATAAGCCAAACAAATCAAGAAAATCAAATTTCACAAAAAATGTACTAAGATTGATTAAAGTAAAAATATTCACAATTCAAGTAAAGAATTACATGTTGGATGTATGCAATGGATGACTGGTATTGCAGTATATTTCTACAGTGTGACGAAAGCAATAAGGGCTCATTTGTATATTTTGACCACTTTTTGGTAATTTACATGGTTTTGTAAGTGCTGTTTCCAATGTGTAAATAGCTTTCTTTGTTCACTTCACAAAATATATTCAAAAATGTCATGAAAATTAACATGAATCTGGAGGCATGCTGCTTTAAAGATATATTCTGCTCAAACTGATATTTTAAAATTTAAAAAAGAGCTACACAGTCTCTATGTATAGTGAAACACATTTTTTATGCAATTACATGTAACAACACACAGAGCAGATATATCACATTTAAAACCCTATATGTTTTATGTAAACACAGTATGAATATTTTTATACTGTCTTTAAAGGCACATAATGCCTCAAAAACAAACACATTTTAACTACTTTAGAAAGGGCAAGCATCAAATTCAACTTTTTAAAGTTTATATAATTATTTCATAGCATATTAAATGATTGTTATCCGAAGAATTTAGTGATAAATGTGAAACAATTTGTGACAAAAGTAGCTAAATGTAAACAATGTAGTACTTTGACTTCCATGCAAAATAAGCAACACTGATGACAAGTCAAGATAATTTTCCAATGAATAATTTTTTTTTACTATACAAATACACCAAATTTTTAAAGCTTTTGGGGCATAATGGGCCTTTAAAAAACTGACAGTCTTTTTTTAGTAAGACACCACTGGACTTAAAAAAGGGAATGCAATATTTGTGCATTCTCTTATCCAAATTAGACATATACATGTATATGCAGTATTAATTTCATAGATTACCTATATTTAATAAATTTCTGAAATACAATTACTTTACTCAAAGAAGAGAAAAGTAGATCTACATGTATGTTTAACCCACAATCAAAGAGAAATTAAAGAATTATTTAAGTTTACCAAAAATGAAATGGCTCTAATTTACAAGCAAGAATAAAATGTTTTTGATATTGAACTAGACAGGCAAATATGTTTAGAGTTGTCTTTTAATTTAATTTTGACCAACCAAATTCACATGTCTGAATTGCCTTAAGTTAACTATTGCTGACATACAAATTTTTAAAATTTAAATTGTTTAGAAGTTTCCTTAGAACTTTACTTTTACCAAGTCCATATTCTTTTTTATCTTTTTATTTACATTTATAAGAATTACATCATAACTTTACAGCATTACCTTTGTATGCGAGAGCCTCTTTAATGGTTTCTTTCTTGGAGTTATTAATTTGTCCTTCTGTCTTCCTCTGACATTGCGCCCGATATCTTCTCCATTTTTAACTGACTTTCCTGCCCTTGCCTTCAGTTTTGTTCTCGCTGACAGTACAAGTTTAACTTTTGTCTCAACCTCTCCTATATTCACTTGTTCAACTTTCACTTTCCCATTCACTGGGGCTAAATCACCATTACAATGTCCCTTTTGTATCTTATTATCTTCATCCAAATCTGCTACCATCTCATCCTTCTCAGATTTTATTGTCATCTTTTCTTGTTTCACAACAGGTTTCTTCCTTTGTCTGGTTTTCTTCTCAGACATATTTTCAATTTGGTCTACAATTTGTTTAATCTTTCCTCGCGTAAGTCTACCGTTCTGCAGATCTGGTTTAATGTCATCAGTAACTTTAGCTATGCTTACTGAATCCTGCTCTTTTTGTTTTCCAGATCTTGCTTTCCTCACTTTAGTTTCTGGTTTCATTTTAATTTCATCATTATTTTCCTCTTTACTGTCACCATTTTCTAGCTTTTGCTCCTTCTCAAGTTTCAACTGGGCTGATTTAGCGCGTTTGGCTCGTTTATTTTCTGAAGGCAAAGTTTCTTCTTTAAGTGTGTCTCCAGCAATATCTTTCTTTCTTCTTTTAGTAGATGTTTTCTTCGTCTAAAATAGTAACAAGTTTTATAAACTACATGTATGTGTTAAAGATTTTTGACAAGTAATATTGCATTGTTTAAATGAATATAAGCCTATATCACCAAATTATTGAGGATTCAAGTAAACCAAGTATATTGAGCCATAAAACCTGTTAATGGTCTTCATAAGGGATTTTAATACTGCACAATATTTTCTTATAAAAACAAAAGAATGTTTTTCATTTGTTTGTCTGACTGGTTTAAAAGACAATTTTAACACAATTATTAAGACATACTTTGGCAGTTGGTCCACCTTACTGGCTTTCCTGGATAACTAATCAGTAATTAACAATTTCTCTGCAAGTGACCAACTTTAAAATCCCACATATTTTCTTAATCAGCAGTGAAGGACAAATGACATTAAGACTTAATGTCCTAAATCACCTGTCTCAGGGAAATTAAGCCTCATCCGAGGATCAAACCACAGACCTCTAGATAACAAATCCAAGCACTTTGTACTGAGCTAAGCAGGCAGACAACACCAAGGAATAATATGAATGAAACTGAGGAAAGCCTGGGCCCCAATCTGTTGTGTCATATGATATATCTAAGCTCTGCTTATCTAATTTTCTGAGGTTGTTTCCATATTTTTAAGTTTGTTTCCGATACAAGTCAATGTTACACTACTGACCCCACAACCACACCATTTTTGACCTGAAGGAATATTTATATCAATTACCAAAATTATAGAAGACTATACTAAGTCAATATAGTATATATGCCAAAATTTCTAACCTCTATGATAGGCAGTTTCAGAGATGATAGCAATGCATTAAATTTGCCTTTATCAATATATGTATGTCTATGTAAACTAAGTGACCACTGGACTGGGTCAATTGTTACCCTGAGACAATAATTGACTTTAGTAGAGCAGGGCTTCCTTTATTGGAAGTTTGGGAGTCACTTACTCCTTATTTTGACTTATTACTTCCAAAATACAATCCTTTTCCTTCTTTACCTTATAAACATTGTTTTGACCTGATTAGGGCTCAAGTTAATGATACCTGGATTAGTAAGTAAGTAAGTAAGTAAGTAAGTAAGTAAAGTCTTTATTTACTGAGGCTACACATTTGGTTTCCCAATCTTCCATGTGGGCCTCAAAACATAAATATACATAAAATATACATAATTTACATAATGGTTATACAGCAAAATTTTCAAATAACATACATGAAGACACAAAATGCATAATATATACATGAAAACACAACAAAAACAATGTACATTCAAACAAAATACATATTCAAAACACAATGCATGTACATATATTACTTAATACTTAATCTATGCAAGACCAAGGTACTTATGTGAAATTCCAACTGATATAGGAAGCTTGGAATTTTCCAATAGTTTCAGATTTACGAATAGAAAGAGGGATATTGTTCCATAGTTTAGGGCCTGAATATGTCAGAGATTTTCTAAAAATTTCTTTTTTAGGTTGTGGCACAAATAAATCTGAGTTTTTTGCTGACCTAAGGTTATGCCCATGTCTTTGATGAATAAATTGAAATTTGTTTTTCATGTACTGTGGAAATGAAGCATTGTTTAAAGATTTATACATAATGACAGTTTTTTTGTATCTTATTCTTTCATCAAATTTTATCCAATTTAATTCATTAAATAACTCAGCAGATGGAGCGTCGTAGCTTTTGTCAAGAATGATTCTTGCAGCTCTTTTCTGAAATTTTATGATATCCAAAATCTGTTCATTGTTACAATTCCCCCAGACTGTACAACAATAATCTAAATGTGGTAAGATATAAGCATTAAAGAACAGTTTTCTTGCATTTACATCAAGGTATTGTTTAATTCGGAGAAGAAGGTACAACTGTGTATTGCATTTCTTTAATGTCTTGTCTACTTGGGTTTTCCACTTAAGATTATTGTCAACATTAATACCTAGTAACTTTTCTGTCTCAGAAAATTCAATTTCATGTTCTTGCAGATGTAATGGTTGTAATTGTTGTTTATTTCTATTGGATGACAGGTTCATTGCTTTTGTTTTCTGGGCATTTAGCATCATTGCATTTTGTTTGCACCATAGATTAATATTGTCAAGGTCAGTTTGAAGTTTATTATGTAAATCTTGTGTAGAGAGACCTGATGCTGTGAGAGTAGTGTCATCAGCAAAAAGATCTGCCTCTGAGGTTTTCAAATGGAGTGGTAGATCATTTATGTATATGATGAAAAGCAGAGGTCCAAGGACAGATCCTTGAGGTACCCCTGATATGACTGTTGCTGATTTTGATAGGTTGCCAGAAACAGTGACCTTCTGTGTTCTATTTTCAAGATATGATGTAAACCAGGTAATTGCACCAGAAGAAATATGATAGTAATAAAGTTTTGGATGAGTAACTTATGATTTACAAGGTCAAATGCCTTTGACAAGTTCAAGAAAGATTGTGCCAATTAGCTTTCCATCATTTATTGCCTTAATCCAGTTGTCAAACAATATTTGTCAATGCAGTTTCGCATGAATGTTTTGTTCTAAATCCTGATTGGGTGTTGAAAATGAAATTATACAATTCTAGGAATTGTTTTAAATGATCAGACACATGTTTTTCAAATATTTTAGAAAGTATTGGAAGAACAGATATAGGTCTATAATTATTCTTATCTGATTTGTGTCCTTTTTTGAAGAATGGTGTGACCTTAGACTGTTTTAATTTTTCAGGAAATTTACCTGTTGTGATACTCAAATTGATAATAGTAGAAATTGGTCTACAAAAAGACTACATATAACAGGGGATGCAGTTTTTAGAAATTTAGCACTTATGCCATCAAGTCCAGTAGCCTTTGTAACATCAAGATTGAGAAGTAGACACCTTAACCACTAGTCCACTGCTCCTCGAACTTGGTGACTTCAGTTGTACCAACATGTTTGAAAATTATGTTGTTGTTGCTTGGACTTGGCACAATAAAAGATAAGCACAGAGATCAGACCAAAATGAGCTATATACAGTTACCCAACAGGCAGAGCAAAAAGAGACTTTGACCACTACTGATTAAACATTAATTATTTACATTGTTAATTTATCTAGAAAATGTTTATACAAACCTGATTTTTATCATCTTCACTATCAGACAATTTCTTCTTTGATGATTTTCTAGCTCTTACTTTTCCATCTAAAATAAATCAAGTAATCATTCAAACAAAATCTACACAAGGCAGTCAACATGGTTTTACATTGCCAAAAAAGCTGCAGCAATCAACTTTACAAAATGGCCAACTGATACTGCAGTTAAGAAATTTCTTCTTTAAGGTTATATAACTAATGTCTATACTTTAGCAATGCTCGCTACAGATGACATCATGTCAATAAAAACTATTTGCACTGAGTTTCCAATATCATAACAATGAACCTTCATTTAAAGTTTAATGATGTTAAAAGTTGTTCAGTTAAAGCCAGTAATGTAGGTGCAAAACCATCATTACAATGTACACCCCGTCATATTTATGCATAAATTCCATGAGTGTTTTTAAGCAAAGATACCCATTCTTTAAATCTTCTTTTTTGTGTACTGATATGATAACAAAGGAATTGTACAGTTTCATAATTATACTTTATCATTTTTACATTTTACATCTTATAAAGACATGCATATACAGACATCTTCTGTGACATTAATAACATCTAAATCTGCTACTTAAATTATTGGTATGATTTACAAGTGTCAAATGATAAATCACTATCCAAGAAAATCTTATCATTCTTTTATCTATCAATGAAAGCTAAACATATGTACCCACAACATTTCAACTTTAATTCTTTAAACCAGAGCTACCGGTCTATAAGCAAGGGTGATAATTATTGGCTTTCCCTTGTTACCCAATGCAAAAACATTGAATGCCTGTAGGTCTTTTATGAAAATCTTTTTAAGGTCAATGACATATTATTTGAATTACTCAGTCTAAAGTTTGGTCCCAAATGCTGTTTTGTTGAGTTTAAACCCAATCCATCAGAAAATTACACAAATCAGAGGAATTGGAATAAAAATATGACACTGATTGTCAAAATTTTAAAGTTAAAATCATGCTCATTTTTGGTAGTATGATGGTTGTTGATACGGGCTCAAGGTCATTAAAAGATCAATGTCGGTTTTAAATTACTTCACAAAAAAGCTTTTACACAAAGGTCTTGTCTTACAAATTGTTTTCTTAAAGAAATATTCAGATAAACTCAAATCTAGTCATTTTAAATAAAAACAAGAGGGCCATGATGGCCCTGAGGTTGCTCACCTGTATCAAGGCCCCCGGATCGGGGCCAGTTTAAACCCCAGGGCTTTTATTTGAACAAACTTGAAAGACACTCATTAAAAGATGTTTTACAATATTTAGTTTGTTAAGTTTTTACTACACACATAATGAAAAACGATGATCTCCCCCACCCCCTCCAGCAGGGCCAATTTTCACCCGAGGGCTTTTATTTGAACAAACTTTGTAGACACCCATAAGAAGATGTTTCATGCTAAACATCTAAGCTCTAGCTCACTGGGTTTTTTAAAAGAAGTTATTTTAAGTTTTTACTATACACATATAGTTAAAAACAATGATACCCCTGGGGCCGGGCCAGTTTTGACGCCAGGGCTTTTATTTGAACAACCTTTGTAGACACTTACTAGAAGATGTTTCATGCTGAATATCTTAACTCTAGCTATTTGGGTTTTTCAAAGAAGATTTTTAAGTTTTTGCTATACACATATAAGGAAAATCAATGACCCACAGGGGAGGGGCCAATTTTGACCCCAGGGCTTTTATTTGAACAAACTTTGTAGACACCCACTAGAACATGTTTCATGCTAAATATCTTAGCTCTAGCTCTTTGAGTTCTTTAAAAGAAGATTTTTTAAGTTTTTACTATATGCATATAGGGAAAATCAATGACCCCATGGGGTGGGGCCAATGTTGACCCCAGGGATTTTATTTGAACAAACTTGGTAGATACTCACTAGAAGATGTTTCATGCCAAATATCTAAGCTCTAGCTCTTAGGGTTTTTTAAAAGAAGATATTTAAAGTTTTTTCTTTTGGTTGCCATGGCAACCAGAGTTCTGCATGGAATTAAATTCTTTGAACAATTTTTAAAGGTGACCACCAAAGGAACATTCCTGTGAAGTTAGGATGAAATTGGCTTAGTGGTTTATGAGGAGATGTCATTTAAAGTAAAAGTTTACGGACGGACGACGGACGGACGGCCAGACGCCGGACGAAAAGTGATCACAAAAGCTCACCCTGTCACTTTGTGACAGGTGAGCTAAAAAGTAGAAAATAAAATTGATGTTGACTTTTTTTTCTTAAAATCCTGAATGTTTCCATGCTAAAAGTTGTTTTGTCAAAATATGAACAAACCAGTCCACAAAGTAGGGCTGTCACAACACTGGAAATTACCCTTTTCATCTCCATGACACTCGATTTTATATTTATTTTTGAAGATGAACAGTAAGGGAAGTCCATTATTAAGTATAGAATTTGTAGAGGTAAAATTAAATTGTCTGAAATTGACCTTCAATGGTTACATGTATGTAACATATACTGGCCAAGGTACCACAGCCTAATGTGTTCTAAAAATGTCTTTATGAGTGTTATTGTGTTTCGCTCTAACATTATTCAAAGCCTATTTAACTTGTTAAATTGGCATTACATACATGTACCATCCTATTGCATAAGTGTAACATACTAGCTCATATAGAAATTCAAAACATAAGTTTAACCATTAACAAGAGCTGTCCGTAAGACAGCGCGCTCGACTTTTTTATTGCTTGCCAATAAAAAAAGTTTTTGCAGTAAAAGGCAATACAAGAATCTCTGTATTTTTAAAGTGAACAATGGCCATGAGCATTAAGATATTTAGTAAAGAATTTTTTTACTGAATTGTGTGATACCCTTGAACACTGCAGCAAAGTTTGAAATGTTTAAGTCAAAAGAGGGCTGGTAAGAAAGAAAAAAAAACTAGTTGTTTGATACCCTTGAATATTACAGCAATGTTTATATGACATAATTTATGGTAAAGTGAACAAGTGGATAGGAATGAATTTTTTTAGATTTTTTAAGTTTTTTAGTGCTTGCCTATAATACAAAACATTGACAGTTAAGGGCCATAATTCAAATAAAATCTTTGACAGAATTACCTTCTCCTGGACATGTTTGGGAATCATGATTGTAAACAAGTATTCCAACTTTCAAATTAATATCTCAAACAGTTCAGTCAAAAAGTGGACTGGTACTAAAAACTTAACCAAGATTCTAAGTCGATAAAAGGCCTTAATTTTTAAAACAAATCCTTGACAGAGTTACCTTCTCTTGCGTACAGATGGGGGTAATGATGTGAAATAGCATTAAAAGTTTCAAAGCAATATCTCAAAGGGTTAAGGCAATAAGTGGATTTTACCCATATTCAATGTATTTTCTAAGTCAAAAAGGGGCATAATTCTGTCAAAAACCTTGACAGAGTTATGTCCTCTTGTCTGTTGATGAAGGTCGTGATGGTAAACAAGTATGGTCAGTTTCAAAGCAATACCTCCAATGGTTTTGAAATAAAGTGAGGTGGTACAAAAACTTAACCAAGCTCAATACACTTTCTAAGTCAAAAAAGGGCCATAATTCTGTCAAAAACCTTGACAGAGTTATGTACTCTTGTCTGTAGATGGAGGTTATGATGGTGAACAAGTATGGTAAGTTTCAAAGCCATACTTGTAATACTTCTGAAATAAAGTGGGGTGGTACGAAAAACTTAACCAAGGTGTGACGCCAACGCCGACGCCGGGGCGAGTAGGATAGCTCCCCTTTTCATAGAAAAGTCGAGCTAAAAAGGTTACTATTTGTTTAGTAGTATGAGTTCCTTTTAATTAGGGATGGCAACGAATACAAAAATCAATACTCGAATACTCGGTCATTTTTCCGATCGAGTACTCGGTTACTCAGATGATTTCCAATGACCTCACAGTATCAACACGGTCCTCATGCTTCTTTCGTTTTCTATTTAAATTAATAGAATTCGTAACTATAAAAAGGACTGCACGGGAGACATTTTAGTTAATTAAAATTAATTCAACAACATGATATTTGACAACGTTTTAATTAATGCAAGAGCAAGTTTAAAACGAGTATGACAGTTCATGTATCATATCTTTTTTCGTCTTGAAATAATAAAGACTGATCGGCGGCAACAAAAGTTTAAAAGGGGTCTAAACACTAGTTCCTCTTATTGGTACATTCATAATAGCAATTGGCCCTTTGTTGTTTTCAAAATAGTTACTTCCGCTACAAACTGTTACTGAATATCATAAGAGCTGGATGACATAAGCGACACATGTGCGCGTGTCAACCGTTGATCACCTTTCATTTTCGCACCTCTGCAAGGATGTTTTGATTACATTTAACAGGTATTTAATGAAGATAATGCATATCTCCGAAAATTGGACACACCAATCTTTCTAAATGGTAAAAAATATAAATTACATATTTTTTCCGAGTAATCGAATATCAATTTTGTTAACCGATATTCGGACGTTTGATCGAGTACTCGGCTAACAGGTTACTCGTTGCCATCCCTACTTTTAATCTTTCCCTGTACCATGCCTTAAGGATTTGTTTTTAATTAAAGCTGCCTTACAAACTCCATGCTTCAAGCTTCAAAACTAGACTTCTTTTATATAACAAGAAAAATCAAATGGGTTTTATCCATTAATAGGCAGTACAATGTACATTTGCAATGCATATGTAAAATTGACTAAAATGTAATAATAAAATTCAATGCTGAACAATAAAGGTTTGTAAGCATTAAAGAGCTAATGAAAATTAAAGTATGCAAGCACTGTGAGATTTGTCTATGTGTTGAGAGTATGGTATGCTGAAAGTATCTACTTACCTACAGGTGCCATGGGACCTAATGGTCCGGAGTACCATATTGTCCTCTTGTTATGGTCAGCAATATTTTTCATACCATCTTGATAATAACACTGTAACCAAGTATTGAATGTGTTACTCTCATCTGACCGGTCTTTACCATCGTACCAGGAACTTTCTACAAGTGTTACACACATAGCATTATAATTGTATACATGTAATACTGGTAAATACCATGGAAAATTCTTCTTAAGTTTAAAGATGTCAACATAATTATGATAATAAGCAAACTGAAAAAGATTGAGTTTCTCAGTCTTATGAAAGCAGTATATAACTACACCTGTTTAACAGTCAACCTTTTAATTTTTTAAAAAAATAATTCTGGTTGGTTTTATGTCACACCAACACAGTACAGTCTTCTGGGAGCTTTACCTGCTGAGGAAGACCTCAGGGTTCCTTTAGTGCATTATTTCATATAAGTAGAACTATGGATGTTTCGTAAGCTAGCTGGATAGCTTCCTCATAAAAAAAATTCAAAGTCAAAGTGCATGAAAACACTGTACTTTTACATATTTAAAACTTTTTACAGTATATTTTACAAGTTATAGCTGTGTGAGCTGTAATTTATTATACATGTATCACCAAAATCATTACATCAAGTTACAGAGATATCATATAATTATTACTGCATGTTTGTTAAATCACTTTCCATTGAATTTGGATAATCATGATGTTTATATCATCTCCATACAAAACTGCCTGTCTGTTTTCTCTTATAATTTAAAAGGAATTTTGCAGTATAACTTATTCATTAAAAAGATTCTTGATAATTTATATGGTCATAAATTATATAAATGGTTATTTACAATATAACCCTTGCCTTTATAGGGTCATCTTACCTGGCAAAATCTTTATAACTAATATTATAACCTGACATACCTAGTGCTATAACTTCATGTGGTAAAATATGACATAATTGTAGAATATCAGGCTCCTCTGACTTTATATCATCTACACATTCTGCCAGTGGCTCCAGTACACCACGTGCTTGCACAAATGGAGGAATCTTCACTCTAATAACAAAAGAATACAATGCATTAATTCATATATAGGACCTCAGAGAAAGGGCAGGAAATGGAATAATCACAGACGCTGGTATCGGTAAAGGGTATCTGTTGGAGGCAATAGTCCAAAACAAAACTGCAAAATATTATTTGATGAACATTGTCTCCTGATTCCAATATACATGTACATACTATACACATGCTGAGTTTTATTACAATCAAACCAACCACTTGTTTCTTTTTTTCATGCTGTTTTTTTTTTTTTGTTGTTTTTTTTTGGGGGGGGGGGGAGGGTATGTCACCCCAAACACAGGGGCTTTACTGGTCAAGGAAGAACCCAGGCACCTGCTCCTGTCTGAACTAATGCATGGAGGGCACTCCAGGGGCACAAGAGTAGAACCACCTATATTTCACAAGCTAGTTGAATAGCTTGCTGATCATCGTCGGATACCCACGGCCGAACCATTATCATTCATTGATAGCATGTTATGTGACATGTTTATCAATCGTGGGTATCCGACGATGCTTGCTGATATGAAAGAATCCAAAGCCCCTGGTGGGATTCAAACTTAACCTTCAACAACCTTAAACACACAGTCACTGACACATCTACACCAACATCTACTCTGTTTATGAGACACCAATGGTAAGTGTTTTGCAATCTTTGAATGATCTATCATATTGAGCATTTATCCTCAAAAGTCACTTAAATAATACCATTGTAAGCCTTGTAAATATAGCTAAAATACCTTCAAAACATGCTCTTTGTTATGTTACAAAGGGCCATCACTCAAACTTAATAATCCTCATATCCCTATTCATATCATAACACCTGCCAAGGACAAATGGATCAGGATGGCTGGACCATCAAAAGATCATGGACAACTGGCCATTCGAATATCTTCTTTCTGATTTCATTAGTGAAAATAAAAACTTAATGTGTTGCTCATGATTTCTGGGGAGAAATATGGCCCACAGTTTAAATGCTGGTCAGACTCACTGTATGTATGTGCATGTGTTGAGATACCTGACTCTATACTAGTGGGGAAAGTTCATCAGTTTTGGTTCCAGCAAGATAATAAAGACTAAAATATGGGAGATCTGTCCAGATATAAGTTTAGTACAAACCTGTGTAGGATTTCTGCACGCAGATAATTTCCGATACCATTGAAGTATTTCTGGTTGAGTAGTACCTCACAGATTGGTTTGTTGAAAGCAGATGCATTCAGGTTCTGTAAAACATTGCTCCTAAAAAAAATTCAAAACTTATGTTATATGTTATAGAATATAAAAATGTACTGCCTGCACAGTCATCCTGTCCCGCTGGAAGGATTTCAATATTATTTTTTTTTGTACCAGCAACAATCTTACTGACACAGGTACTTAACTAGGACTTGTCAGCCCACTGAATTTAACTTTATACAAGATGTAATTTGTTAGTCAAGACCAGTATTTTCTTGCATGTTCTTTTCAAAAATTGGATCAGATTTGTTTTCAGCAACAGGACACAACCACAACCTGAAATGAATTCTAAACAAGACATGCATTTTTTTACCTACTGAACTGTCTGAACATAAAAGAACTGCAAGCACAAATAATATAACTGTCGACAATCTATTTTTAGACATGTTTGTGCGATTGTGATATAATAACCATTAAACTGTGATGCCTTAAAAATACGTACCGAAACAGATCAGGCACAATTTGGCTTGATATCAACTATGGCAGCATTAACATCTTGTCAAGGATTTATAAAGGAAGTGGCTAGCCTACGGGCCCGTACGGCTAGCCAAAAGTTCTAGCCGTACGCGAGTCACATACGACTAGCCTGGACACGCTGTATTGGCTAGCCGTACGGCACTTTTCAAAATTAGATGGAAGTCGAAAATGCATATGTTATTTTATGACTTTAAACGACAATTTTAATCAAATCTCCGCATTTTTCCTTGTGTGTTCACATTAATACAGATCCTCCGCAATTTTGCAAAAAAAAAAAAAAAATGAATACGAGTAAGCGTTGTCTAATCTATCTTAAAAAAATTAAGTGTCAAAGTTGCATGTTATAATTAACGTCCTTAATTTTCATGCTTATGATTTGTATGAAAGATGAATTGTTAAGCAAACAATCTGTCACGTGACCTCACAAGATACTTTTGTTCAAATGTATTATTCGCTGTATGCTCACATGCTTGTAATCATTGCTTGAGTTAAATAAAGTTGTTGTTGTTGTTGTTAAATCTGTTAATTAAGCACATGGATCGAATAAATAATGATTGGAGGGGAATAAATAAATAAATAAAAAGAATATATATTTAAAAAAAAAAACGGTAAAAAGGAGAAATAATTTAATAATGCAAACTTCTATACTGTACCGTCGATAATTGACGCAATTATCACAACAATTATTTTCGGTGTTTTTTTTGTTTTTTTTTTTCAATTTAAAAATTGAACTTATTAATAATGAAACAAAAAAGGACTATTATCAACATTTTGTAATGTTAAGTGCTTATTCTTTACTGTAGACAACACGTCTATTAATCTCTAAAAAGTAAACATTCTTGACTAAAATCCTCGCTTAAAGTCATAATTAACATATGCACTTTCGCCTTCCATATATTTTTGAAAAGTGCCGTACGGCTAGCCAATACAGTGTGTCCTGGCTAGTCGTACGTGACTCACGTAGGGCTAAAACTTTTGGCTAGCCGTACGGACACGTACGGCTAGCCACTTCCATTTATAAATGTAATTAAGATCCGTGATGTTGTGTAAGAATCAAAGTAATATATCCCAAGCAGTGATTTTATATATAGCTTAAAAAAGCCATGCTTGTCGTTCAGATGCACAGCATTATATCACTCGGGCTACATCTTCGTGATATAATTCCTTGCAACTCCAAATAGTGATTTTCTTTTAAAGCTATAAAATCACTGTTTGGTATACAGTGTATGATGTATTATCACTAAATATATATTATCACTGATTATATAATAATAAACAGTGTATTACCTGAAGTTAGAGTAATCAAACAGAACACATGGTCCTCTATCTTTCACTGAAAAATCTGCACCCGGAGTCCACTTTCCAAATCTCATGTAATCTATAAAACTGAGCACACTGGCTGGTTGTGAGTCACATGTGAAGAAGTTGAGATGGGCATGCTTTTGTAACTCGTTAGCTTCATGAAAATCAAACTTTCCAGCCAAACCGAAAGTAAAAAGAATATCTAGAGTAGATCTATTTGTCTGTGATTTGCTTAATTTTTTGTCTCCGTCCGCATTTGTTGTTTCTGTCAGGGTTATTTTAATTTCTTTCCCGCGAGATGAAGATGAAATAATGTATTTTTCTGCTGGGGGATTCACGTTTGGATTTTTGCTGATTTCTGATTTCAGAACCTTACCAAAAACTCGACCCTTGCACATGTGATTAATAAATCTACTCGCAATATGTAATTCCGGCCCTTCTGGCATCTTCAAGAAGTTGATGGCAGCGTTATTCAATATACAAAAAAACTTACATACATGTGTACACACACTAAATTTGTGTTTACATAAGATAGTATTGGCTGGTTCCCGAATTCGTCAATGAATTGGTTTCCCGCAAAGTTCGAAAAGAAGGGACTATTTGCCGTTCGTCACGGTCCGGTTAAAGCAAATTAAAGCTGTTGGAAATTTTTTGAATTTCAAATACAATTTTATACTTGTAATACAAATAGACTGGTAATTAAAGAATTGAATGTAACACTGTAAAGAAATTATCAAGGAGATGAAAAACTTAAATTATATACATAAAAGCTACATATTATTATTAACTATTGGTCAGTCCCAAAAATCGCCATTTCTCAGGGAAAATTTCACATTCAGCTACTTTCTTCGGGTCATAAGCATCTAACTTGTTCTAAAACTTTTTTTAAACATTATAAAACTCATGTTTGCCCTTTCTAAAGGAGAGAAAAGCGTGTTTCTGAGGCATCATAAATTTAATGTCCTTCATACGTCCATCAGACTTTATGTCCAACAATAAATAATTCCAGTACACGTGATAACATCTTTCAACTTTCTTAGTTAACACCGCATGACTAAAAAAAAAATGAAACGACAATTTCGTGATTAACACGGAGACTTGATTTGTTTGTGTCTAACGACACACACGGCGGTCCATACGATTATACCGTCTCAAAATGAATAATGAACAAGCATAAATTATAAGTTCATATTATTTAAATCTTAGGACACAAGCTTATTTCCTTTTATATCATGGCGGATATGGTTATTCATAAAAAAGGGATGGATATTATAGTTCGTTAAATACGGCTTTGTCCCAATTTGATTTCCATTCAGATGAAAAAAGTTTACTTATTTTCTTTCCCGTACACAAACACAGTCCTGAGATGGTCAATGGACGACAATTAAGGCGGGACAAACTGGGGAATACTGTAAAAATAAGTAATACATTATGTCCTCTTCTCTAAACAATGTTCATCTAGCAAACATAAGTATATTATGCTTATCAAATATTACAAACAAAATACTCCGTTCAAAGCATTTTACGTAGAAAATAGTTTTGCGTGTTACTACTGCAATTAAGTTCTTTTTCACATACGTGTATAGTATAATTTTGAAATGATCGATATAAATGGCGAAAGAATACAAGAATAATCTCAAATGAACCCGTTTACTAGAGATTGTAAAATAGCAATATATATTTTTTTTAAAGACGCCATTTACTACAGATTGCAAAAGAGCACAATCAACAATTACTAGGATGTATGCAAATATTTCTTTGTACTCAATACTAATAATGCTGCACTTATTCTTGTATAGCTTTTGACTTATTTAGTATCGACCAGGCTTTAACTGATATTTGTGTTTGAAATTATATGTTCCCAAATAGAATGAAGTATATCAAATTTTAATTTGGTAAATCGACTTAATTTAATCAGTCTGGTAAATCGACAGTTTAATAAAAATAATTTCAAACACTAAATTGGTTTATGTTTATAAGAAAAAATTTATCAAATTAAATTGACCGAACGCTGTGCCTTTCTTGATCAATTGAATTTTGGAAATGGTTTCTTATAAACACTAAAGAACCTGTATTGCGCGTACTTAACGCACGGAACGCCGGTTCTTTTACCTTTCACCTTCATACGTTTGCTGAAGTAATGAACGCAATGTCTCCTCATTACAGCGTATAAACAAAATATAGACTTGCATTCAACGGACAAGACATGAAATCCACAACTAGTGCAGTGCCGTTGGGACAGTTGTTTGTGAGACGGGACGATTCATTCTATTATTTCCATTGATATATGCTGCTTTTGAAAAAGCAGGTGCAAGAGAGCTTGATACACATTTCACTGTATATAGTGTCAATTGGCTGAACAGAACCAATGCATCATTGTTTTGAAATTTCGGATAATCTTTTGTGGAGTCCCTCTAATAATAATCAGCCATTATCAGTAAATATATCACTTCAATATAGATCAAATGAACATAAGCTTGCATGTGTTTTCTCATTGTTATTAGTTTTTCCTACACCAATATTTACAAAGTTCATCTGGGTGTTGAAAGCGAATAAAACACGGTGGTTTTTGATGTCAGACACAAGAAGTTTGCAACGTGAAACAAATTTTAGTTCAAGTCTTACGTTTTGAAAGATAATTATCTGCAGATACACCCATATGTCCAATATTCACAAAGAAAAGATCACATGCAGCATCTCAAAATTGAAAAATGGTTATGCATAGCCGAAACGTCTGCAATAAATAACTACTGAATATTCGTGTTTGTGTGGCTTGTTTGTTTATTATATATTTCGACAAAACCTTACACAATTATTTTCATTTCTGATAATGTACTATACTCACCTAAGTAATTTTGCAGTACCATCAGCATGATAAAAAAAAAAACACCCGTGAAGTTTGGAGACCGACTAAAGATCTGTTACAAACAGACCAAAACATTATGCCCTCCCGATCTATAGATCCTGGGACGGGGGATATAAAATTCTGAAATAATTTTAGCATATTGGGCAGTGAAAGATTTCAGAACAATTGACAGTGCACCAGGATTTGCAATTAACCCTTATCCCGCTTATATCTTTAATAGATTTGTCATCATATATGTACTAAATTTTTAATGGCAAATAAGATTCCCTGATTTCAGTTTGAAATTCTAAACTGACCAATGACTTATATTCAGTTCTTCCCTGTAAACGTTACAGGAAGTCAAACCGTTCTCAGACTGACTTCGTCCGAAAAACAAAGGACGGCCAATCTTTGGCTCCGTGTCTATAATCTCCTACTTTATTAAGATACATATGCACCTCTTGTATTTGAGATAAATGGCCACGCTCATTTTACCTCCTTTTGCCTTACAACAAAATGGTGAACATTAAATAGAGGTAAATGTCTCTCAGTTTTTATACTGGTGATCGTGTAGAGGTCCTAATATTCACTTATGTAAATTTGCAACATGTCATGCCAGCCTTTTTTGGCTGAAGATTGCTGTTACAATAAGTCGATACAAGCGTTTCTAAAGACGAAAATTCCTTTGTATCTAAATTCATGTTATCAATAAATAATCTTAATTAGTACTTTAATTAACAATACTCTATGTTTCGTCTTATTTTCTTTGTACTCAAAAAAGACGCAACACTACTGCATGCCATTTGACATTATAAACTAATCAGTTTCATATTATGAATTAAGGCAATTCCTAATGCATCTTTTTCCTCGTTAAGAAAATTGATAGATAAACGAACTTTTACAGGGTCTAATTGATTTAATAATATACAGTTTCAAGGATTTTTCAGTAATTTTCAAGATCAGTTACCGCAAAACAATATGCATACATTGAATTTGTACACATATTTAGTTGTTAGACACTTGGTGATGTATAATTGATAAACAGCAAGCGTATAATGGCTGCGGAGGAATTAGTTAAATGGAAAGGAATAAGTCAAATGTTACCTGAAGAAAGTTGTTATGTTTGTGAAATGATTTGTCATAAAAGAAGCCAAATGTGATAGTAGTATTTTGACTTCCATTCAAATACTAAATTACCATAAATATATTAGACCCCTAAATTCATCGGCAAATTATGGTGTAGTTATTTCTTTAACAACTATTAATGTTCTTAAATTAATTGATTAATGCATTTCTTCGGCCTCCTTTTATTTTGCGGAAATCGTATAGAAAAAAAGTTACATTTCTGGCCTGTCTGGGTATTTCTTTCACTTTTACATGTGCCATAAGCACTGTGTTTAGTTGTCCCTTTCCTTTAAACACTAAATTCGCTTTTCAACTTGTTTTCCTCTTACAATTGTATATAATAATTTTTTTTTAAAAACAGTGGGTGTTAAGAAAAGTATAATCGCTTGTCTAAAGTCAGAAGTGGTGATTGGGTAAAATCTATTCTTAGAATAGTGTTAAAGGGGAATCGTTTTCACACATAATTAAATTCAGTAACGTCGCACTGACTCGTATTTAGCGCTGTGGTTTTGTCGTTCTATTTCTTTATTCGCTGTGTATCTTTTTAATTCTATTTTTCGAAAATACATCAGTGCCGCTTAAAGCGAGAGAAAAGATAAGTAAAGCCAGTGAAATTACAACGATCTGGAATAAGCTTTTACCATATATGCTGATACAGTTTTGGTCAATGCAAAACAGCACCCTTTTAAATAGATGAACAACGTTTTTAAGCTGAATTCGATACGTCATCATTTTCTGTGCTTTTTAGACTGTTTCCATATTATGAAAAAGGCACCTCATTATAGGAAATCAACCAGATGAGCAGTCTATTAATTGTTTACGTTTTTTCGTCATGTAAATAACCAATGTTTTCGCAATAACTTGAAAAAAGAAAATAGGTACCAAAATGTTTAGCATATGCATGTGAATGTTTTTTTTTATTTACTTTGCAATAATTTTTAATACTCGCAAAATTAATAGTGTCATTCCGCAGTAAATCATGCGACTTTTTGAAAACTCGTAAAAGACTCGACTGAATGGCAGCCGAATAAGGTGTTTGTTTTACTTAATTTTCTGCATTAACTTTCGTGTGTGCACTAATGTTATTCTTGTCCGTCTCTTGATTCTATGAAAAGTTTTACCTACCGTTTCAATAAAACTTTGACTACTTCATTATTGTCGTTTTGTACAAGAGAAACACCAATATTGCCTTTATTTGTTTTATTATCTGTTTTTCGTGCTCTCCCAAAAAAGCTACATTTTTTCAAGGCACTAAACACTAAGACTACACGCTTGTATACTAAATTGTATTTACTAAATTTTCTGATTACATTATTAATAATTGTCATCAAGTGTTTGCTTCTAGCTAAAACCTAGAACCATTGTTATGTTGATCCATTTAATCAAAATTCATTGAATGTTTAAATATGTTCAAACCAATACATGTGTTAATGACCACCTTTTCTTTTGATACTGTTTGGCTAAATGGTTCTTTTGGAAGAAATTAGGTAACTATATTATTTATGGAAAAAGTTTTAACTTAAATAAAATATGTATAAGTATAGTAAATCATGTGTTAAATCAAATTCAACCAAATCAAGTTTCTTTTCCATGAAATATTGGTGTACGACAAGGCGTTATGTTTTCGCCGTTGCTGTTTTCTTTTTATCTAAATGATATACATCAATGTTTTTTTAACAAAATATGAACACAAACGGAATACATATACCTGATAGTGAAATTATAGAGATTCATTTAACGCACTTACAAATATGTTGTCTAACTAAATAATACAGTAGTAGTTAATTAAATATGTTGTCTAACTAAATAATACAGAAGTAGTTAATTAAATATGTTGTCTAACTAAATAATACAGTAGTTAAATAGTACGCATAAAAATCAACTTGCATAGGTACTGAACTATGAAATTTTGTTTGCTTAAAAAAATGTCCATGTCATTAACAAAATGAGTAGCTTTCAACAATTAAACGGAATACTATTACAAAATGAATATAAAATCTGAATCTCATTCGTAAATATGTATACACTATTTTTAATCAAGAGATTCTCCTGAGTTTGAAACATTAATGCTGTATGATGAATTTCTTAAAATGCACATGTCATACTAAAGTCTATGTCAAGTTTTATTTAAGCAGTTCAGCTCCTGGTTTTTGTTCGTAGATATGGAACTTGGCAGCGGGTAGTTGCCAAACATATTGTAATACATAAGATCCTTCCACGATCTGTTTCTATATTTAGCTTTGTTGATATGGAACTGTCCTTGAAATTCTTCCTCACTTGGTCCCCAGCTTTCCATGGGCTGAAGATGTTGCTTCAATTTCTGAAAACAGTTGAAACCTAAAATATGTAAGAACACTAGAACCCCGCCTCATAATTACATACATATGGAAGTCAGACATCTAAGTCTCGTGCACATACAGATTTCTACGTATTCCTAACTCATGGAATAGTATGCAAATGTTTAAGACCTAAGTAGAGAGTTTGATTTAAAATGCAAAACTTATGTTTCTAAAAATGTGTTTAACTAATCTCATACCTTGAAATACGAAGCCCCCTTTGATGTATAAACTGTGTAAAGTCCTTGAACTAACATTGGGCTAATTACTATAGCAACGCTCAGCCAGCCCATAACTCGAGCTGTTGAAGGGTAGGTATAACTCCCGTATGACGGCGGTACATATTCCACACAACTTACCAAAAATATAATCTGAAAGAAAACATTGTTTATGTTAAGGTTGTTTTCTATTAGAACAAATGGAGTGGAAATAGTCTTTATATTTCCAGATTAAATATCAATTATAAATGTTTAACTATGAAAGGCACACTAAGATTCAGCAAGGGCAAACATGTTAAAGTGTTGTTATAATACACACAGAACATGTGTGATTACGCTGATTGTGAAATAATGTTTGATAAAGAGAGCAAATGTCATCCATACAAAATGAGAAATCACTATATGTGAACAAATTAGATGGTTCAGCAATGAATACATTCCCCGAAACTGTAACAATACACCAAAAATATATAATATTTTGAGGCAAAATTGGCTTTTAAAAATGTTTTTGATAAAGTAAATGGAGCCGCAATTTTCTGTAATTTCAAAAAGATAACAAATGTTACGTTTATAATTAACAAGGGAAAGCAGCCTCTTCCCACAACAAGCCAACAACTTCAAGCACCAGCATATAAACATAAATGAACATCGTTAGATTTTTGATATGTTTACCCCTATTACATTTAAAGTTAAAAATCAAAACTTTGGTTCTAGAAAAGAGTTGCTCCGGCATCAAGAAAAAAATGGTGCACTGCCACAAGATATTTTAATATGATATTGTTCTGAGAAGAACTATGTCATATTTGAAAATCTACATCTAGTCCCAATAAAAAAACAACGTAAACTATTAAAATAACTAATAAAGCAGCAAACTCAAAATAAATTGTATGAATAATACTTTTTACATATATTGAAATTCAAGTCTTTATACTTTAACCTTTATATATAGTAATCATATGTAATAGTGAAATCCTTACCAGAACAATTAAAGGTGTTATAAATGCTGTAAAGAACCTCAGAAGTCCAGGTATTGGTCTGCCTATCATCATATGTACATCGTCACTGAATCTGTCCATACCTAGAAAAAATACTTATGTATTTTTACGTGGAAGACAATATCAAATACAATGTACTATATAATATACAATTATAAGAGCATTGGAAGAATTCTTCAGTTTAAGATATATAATATTCCAAATGCATTTTGCATCTATAGAAATGATCATATAATTAATCATTTCGGCGTATTCCGTCACTTTTCGTAATGTATGAATGTAAAAAAATAACAACACACAAACAAAAAACAAACAAATAAAAACATCAGCATGAAAAATACATCGTGTTATCTAGCATCATTCAAAGTGATTACAGGCTATGCAAAATGCCAAGGGTTGCCGCACGAGCTAGCAACGGATAATCATAGCGCCTCTGCTCATTTAACTACCGTTTATATTCATAACTTCACATATACACGCGATTTGATCAGACTAGCGCTAAGCAAAGAATTGCGTAAACTAGTACATCTTGAACGAGAAATAATTCTAATATTTGAAAATATGTCTAAAATGTAATCCAATTAAATATAGTCAATATGCACAAACCAAAACAGTAATCAAAAAAAAAAAAAGATTTTCAAATATACAAACCGTACACCCAGGCAACGACCACAAGTTGAATAAATGCAACTATGGGACCAATCCAGGCACCATTGTACCAATCCATCCATAGGAAAATGTAAGCACCTGCCTGTAAAATGGAAATAAACATTAATCAGATTTTCTTTAACACTGACAACCAATACAGCAAATCATTAATATATTTCAAGGTATAAGTGTTATAATGTCCAATGACATAAATGTCGAACAAAACATTTGGAGAGTTTCACATTCTACACAAGCTACTAGTACAGTAGTCCTCCTTAGCTTCGCTACACGGGGAAAACTCAACAAATCATTTCTGATGAGTTTGCAACGCTGCTCGAAATGATTTTTTTTTGTTCCGTATGCAATTCAACATGACAATTATAATGTTCACCACAAATTGCTGCAATTACAAATAAAATTTATGTTGGTTTCCGCACAACTTCTGTGGTTTCCGGTAGTATGTATGAGGGTTAAGCATCCATATTCCTCATTATCATGTTCGATATACCCAAGAGTCGACTGCATCGAACGACCACGCATGAGTTGATAACTGAAAGTTGTAACAGTATTTTGATTTGCCTTTTCAAGAAATTAAAAGTTTTAAAGCTTTAAAGCTGAATGTCTACACACCAATGTTTCCAAATAAAATGGAGCAACGGTTTTAAATTATACCAGCATTCAGGTGCAACATCTTAGTAGTAGGAAACTTTATTTTTTTCTGGTAGCACATGTAGCAAGTCATGTACTTAACATCTTCTTTCATGTACATGCATAAACCTGTGATGTAATTTTATTTTTTGATGATTTTATTTTCTAAGAAAATGTTCTTTCCATTGTGAGTGGGACAGCAAATTTAACCGAAACACACTTATTTTAGCGATCCATATATGATTGGTGCCCCGTGTTTAATAGGACGTTTAAAAAGTATGCTATGAATTATCTATAACCAAAAAACCATATTTACCCCAGTACACGTGGGCAATGAACAAAGAAAGAATATAACTCCTGTAACAACAAGTGCGTGGATCCTGAACCCGCGGCGTACCCTCGGGAAAACATCCCCTATCAGCTGCATTAACATGTCCATAGGAACCAGCTGAAATCATGAAATGAATAAAAGCTGTATATCTCCATATAAACCAAAAATTCAAGAAAATCAACAGTAAGGGAATAAACTAATATTTGAAGAAAAATAAAAATATTGTAATTCAAGTAATGATTTACATGTTATATGCAATGAATGACTGATTTTTATCATATTATTTTTGAAAATTACTGCCTTTATTTGGTAATTAACTCGGATCGGAAGTGCCGTTTGCAATGTGGTAATTTACTTGGATTGGAAGTGTCGTTTGCAATGTAAAAATTACTTCTTTGTTCACATGACAATGTATAATCTTTCAATACATTTTCAAAATTATCATAAAAATTACCATGCATCTGCATGCATGCTGCTTTAATAAACAGCTAGTGTTGTATAATCACTATTTTCACATATAAATGCATAAAATCCTACAATATTAACGTTTTCCCCCAAATAATTGATAACATTATGTCGATTATAATATGCATGTATATGAACACATATAGTACATGTATATTGTACACTAAAACCAAAGACAAAAAATATAGTTCATTGGTATCCTTTTCCGATTAGATACACGTTGTCTTCTAACAGGGCGGGTGATCACGTGACTTTCGTTTAATGTGAAATGCGGTCACTGCTTATGGCAACAAACGTCCAATGGTGCATTATAGAGTGGGGGTAAATGTCTGTTGACCTCTTTAAATGTATATGAAGATTGATCCAGGTGTGCACATATCATCTTAGAACCGGAGTAGCAAATCGAACAAAATGATGATAAGATAGTGTCGACCTGAATAACTGATTCTTCAATTATCAAATCTTTGTTTTTGTAAAACACAATATTCTTTAATCGTTTTTATAAAAATCAATACTGGGCAATAATTCGTAGAATTTTTTATCTATAATAAGTAATGAACTATAGATTTACTAACCATGTACGCTTTACATATCACGTATCCCTCCATATAATTATCTTAACCAGGTCACGTGCCCCTTCATGAAAAAAATAATAGTATTCTAATACTAAGTGGGCTCTGGCCCGCAAGAAACTATGGTTTACCTGTCCATCAATTCCTGTTAGAATTAAAGCTGCTAGAAAACAAACAGTCCAGATCTGCGGGAACGGTAGTGACGACAAGGCCGTTATGTATGCTACTATACCAACAGACATGCCTGTAAATATGGGATATAAATTTCTTTAATAACACTTTTAATATCTGCTGTAAATAAAATATTATTATAAGTTTACGCTATAAACAGCTTATCAATAGGAAATTATCGGTAAGACTTACAGATTAACTGACCGAGAGACATCTGACTCTGACAAAATCATGTTAATGTAATCGATGTAATTGAATTTTGTTTTACAAATATTTTTCCAAAATACATTGCAATTAGTTTGTAACATAATACCACCATTAAAAATGAAAAGAAAACTAGAACTATCACTAAATGTGATTAATATCCCCCCGAAGACTGCTTTGGAAAAGAGGATGTTACTAGTAACAGAAGACCTTGTAAAAGAATTGAAATAGAGTTATGGTTGTGGGCAATTAAAGATAGTTGTGGTTCTTGTATGTTGCATTTCCTTTCAATGTGGTTGGCCATTGATGAAGTTTTATTGAATTACTCTGTATTAAGTCCAGAAAGACAAGGAAAAGAAACAAAGGGCAATAACTCTATAAAAACCGAAGATTAGTCCAAATAGTATTGAATTCCAACTAGTAGTTTTCAAGTTATGCTCTGGACAAGAAAAAAACAATGGAAAAGTAACAAAGGGCAATAACTCTATAACTACTTTGGACAGAGTTATAGTTCTTGTGCACTGCACTTCCTCCTATTGTGCTTGACCATTGTATGAAGTTGTTTTGAATTCCAATAACTCTGTAATTTGTTAAAATGTAGTTATGGTTCTTGTGCACTGCACTTCCTCTTAATGTGCTTGGCAACTGTATAAAGTTGTATTGAATTCCAACCATTAGTTTTCAAGTTATGCTCCGGACAAGGAAAAGTAACAAAGGGCAATAACTCTGTAATTAGTCAAGATGGAGTTATGGTTCTTTTGCACTGCACTTCCTCTCAATGTGCTTGGCCATTGTATAAAGTAATATTGAATTCCAACCATTAGTTTTCAAGTTATGCTCCGGACAAGGAAAAGTAACAAAGGGCAATAACTCTGTAATTAGTCAAGATGGAGTTATGGTTCTTGTGCACTTCACTTCCCCTTATTGTGCTTGACCATTGTATGAGGTTGTTTTGAATTCCAACCAGTTCTTTTCAAGTTAAGCTCCATAAAAGGAAAAGGAACAAAGGGCAGTAACTTTTTAATTAGTCAAGATGGAGTTATGGTTCTTGTAAACTGCACTTTCTTTCAATGTGCTTGACCATTTTATGAAGTTGTATTGAATTCCAACTATTAGTCTTCAAGTTATGGTCCGGACAAAAGAAAGCAATGGAAAAGTATCAAAGGGCAATTACTCTGTAATTACTTTAGATAGAGCTATGGTTCTTGAGCACTGCACTTCCCCTTATTGTGCTTGACAATTGTATGAAGTTGTTTTAAATTCCAACCAGTAGTTTTCAAGTTATGCTCCGGACAAGGAAAAGTAACAAAGGGCAACTACTCTGTAATTAGTCAAGATGGAGTTATGGTTCTTGTGCACTGCACTTCCTCTCAATGTGCTTGACCATTGTATGAAGTTATATTCAATTCCAACCATTAGTTTTCAAGTTATGCTCCGGAAAAGGAAAATGCAACGGACCGCTTGACCGACCGACCATCCGACCGACCACTTCGTTTTGGGGGTATAAAAAAAGAAAAAAACTTAAGCTTTAATTGCATAAGCTATTTAACCATTTTACCAAGAACAGGAAAAAAAACCAACGGATTTAATTGTCACCCATATTAAGACAATAGTGCACACTGTTTCATGTCCTTTATTTTGTCATTATTTGGAGTTAGTAAAAATTGTATCCGGTGTGTAACATATTACAGGAATGGATAACTTCCCTGACAAAAATTGCGAAGATTTGCAATTAATAAATTCATACATTGAATTTGTAATCGCCCTTTGTAATATAAACACTTAATATGAGAATTTTGAATGAGTCAGTGTGACCTTAACCTTGACCTGAGGTAGTCCAAAACTGCTCTCTGCACATCATCTCAGTTATATAAATATTTCAGCAAATTAGATTTAATTCCATCAAATTAAATCAATTAATACCCGGGGCGGGGCCAATTTTGATCTTTGGAAGACCGAACATGTATTCTGCACACGTCCTTATATAAGTAATATTCCTGCCGAAAAGTTTTGATTTCTGATACAGAGCAAACACAAAATTTTGATATTGATATAAAATGGCTAAGTGTGACCTTGACCTGAGAAAGGTCAAACCTGCGGTCTGCACATCGTCTCATTATGATTAACATTTCTACCAAGTAGTATTAATTTCCTCCCGGTTCACAAAATACAGACCGGACAAGAAAAACAAACGGACGGACGAACAGCCGGACAACCAGGTGCAGAACAATACACGCCGGAGTTTTTTCGAGCGTATAATAAAACTTTTAAAGAATGAAAAAAATTATGTATGAAAAGCTCCGTTCCCTATTACAGGTCAAGTAAAGTTGGTCTTTTCTTAGAAGAATTGATAGTTTTTCAAATACACTATCTATTCATATCGTGACCACCTATAGTATGTAGGATTTTAAACATAACATATCTACTTTGTGTGAAGTCAAAACATGTTTATTTATATTTACAAAGAGATTGTGTAGCAATTATCAATATTTTCTTACATCAATTTGAGCATAGTATCTATAATTTTTAAATCTTATATTTGAGCATTTATTATCATCACTTTACCTGCATTGATAACTTCCGTGACATCAACGTCATAAATGTGAGCCATGTTACCAAGAACAGAGAAACAAACTAATCCACTAAATGCTGCCATAAACATGTTAGCTAGGGGAAGTATTATAGACGTCCTGTAAATACCAATGAACATTTCAGAGCTTCATACATTCAATACAATTATTACATATACATGTAGTATTGTCAATCTATACTACATCAAAGAAATATCAATTTATGTCTACCCGTATTGTGTTGCTTGCTGTATACATTGATATTTGCCATAAAAAGCAAACGTGGCATTAAGGGTTTGAGTTGCAATAACGTTGGGTCGTCTAAGCATACAGTTCCAGACCTTATTTTATATGTATAAAACAACTTGTCAATTTGATCAAACAATATTGCCGCTTCTGACATGAATTTTGTGACTACATTATGTGCTGCTACCTATATCATTGATCAAATTACATCAATTTAGATTTTTTTTCAGTTCAAACATTACATATCAAATCACTATTGTACTCCATCTAGCCTCGTTTTCATTTCCGGTCCAAGAATTCGGTATCAAATCGGTATTGTTAACTTACTCCGTCTAGCCTTGTTTTCACTTTCATACTTATCTCAAATAATTATTCTTATTGTACTACAATAATTAATGTTCTGTCAAAATGTCAAAACATTTCGATTGACCTCTCAAGCAACGGCTCCTGTGTTACAGCCCAACTCAGGCCAGTTATGTTTCCTTGTTCGAGACACCATTACTTGGCAGTTTTCGGAAATGTACCTGCTACAAGACCTTTGACACAAAAAACGAACATGGGTAAATGTTTAAAATGAAGTGTTATTTACCTTAAACAATTCTCTTTGAAATGTGCGTGAGAGCCCAGTAACATATTACCTCCCCAGCCGAAACCCAGTGTATAGAAAGCCATCAGAGTGGCCTCAATCCAAACCTGTTGTACAAACATACACATAATGATGTCACTAATGAATAGCCCTGTCATAATCCCATATGCGTTATAGTTCTAAATAACACCAATGTATTTTGACATGACAAAGGTATAAAAAATGTTTTATTAAACATATAGTTTTTTACTCCAACTTTTAGAAGGAGTTTTTATTACCAAAATCCTTTAAAACTCTATTTATGAAATATATAACTATGCTCACAAAATTCAATCCTTGATTTCAGGAAAGCAAGACGTATAGTACAAATATCAAAGTAACAACGAATAAAATTAAGAAATAGAAAGTAACTAATCAAATTACGCGTTATGAAATGTCACAAAACATAATTATCCAATAAATGAGACACTGTAAATTCAGAGAATCCAATCAAATTAGGCGTTAAATTATATCACATGAAATGCAGCCAACCATAAAACGTGTCTTTAATATACCTTACCCTTGGCTGAATTATCTTGTCAAAGTCTGGATTGATAAAATGAAATATGCCAAGACTTGAACCAGGCAGCATTAGCGATCTGATAAATATGGCAACTGTCAGGAAAAACGGGACAGTGGCAGTTACGTATATCACCTATTCATGCATAAAGAATTGAAACAAATTTCATCAAAAAAGGAAGAAAATCATAGAGATAATGCATTACAAATAAAAATGAAATTAATACTGAAAGGCATAAAAATCTTGAAACAAAGTGATCCCTCGGAAGCATTAATCACAATAAAAAATTAGATGAAAAAATTGCAGACTCGGTTTGATTGAGTCTGTACATGAAGGATAATGCATAAGTCATGTAAGTGAACATCCCTCACACCCCATAGCACAGGCTTGAGCGGTACTCAATTCTCAACACTTAATAGTGCTGGCATCAATGATCCGGCAGGATCAAAAAAAAAAAAAAAAAAAAAAAACAACACTGAAACACTTAAAGCTGCCACACGGCACTTGACACCTGCTGTTGTGAAGTATAAAAAAAATCTGGAAACCAAGTGATCCCTTAGAAGTTTTAACCAGTTAACAAAACTAATGTAAGATGAAAAATACAATGCCTTGAAATGGTCTTAATACAAGACTTGTTATACAATGAATAATAATGTTGATAGTATTTAGTATCAAGCAAAATAATAAAGAAAGAAATAATTATTATTATTATTAGTGCTCGCCAAATTTTTTTAAGCCAATCACCTACGAGGATTTTTCAAATTTTCAGGTTTCAAATCTTAAAAGAACAGATTTTATATAAACTGGACGTTTTATATTATAAAACGCAAGTGGGCGGAGCACTAAGCCGGTTAGAGTGCATATTGGATGTTCTTCGTAAATAAGAAAGCTACAGTCGCCTCGCAAGCTCCGCTCCTTTTTAGCTTTCTTATTTACGAAAAACACCCGATATGCACTCTAACCTATACTTATTCATCATAAAAATATCTATACATTGTACGAAAGCACATATATAACAGTATCAATATTGTTTAACAAGCAATATTTTTATATAAAAATATCTATATGCTACGTTTCTGTTGTTTTTATCAATATTTGAAACATATGGAAAATGTGCCTCTTGTAGACCAATCCACTTTAAAATATTCAGAAAAATATATTGGTACAACTTTTCACATTTTCCGGTCCTTTGAATAATAAATATGATAGATCTTAAGGGTCTCACCTTTTCTATAGATTTGATACTTTTCACAAGACCAAAAAATATAACAAGACGTATCACAACTAAAGTAATCACGTGACGCCACTGAAAAGGTGAAAGGTCAGAAATACCAGACGACAACTCTAAAACACGGTATCTGAAACCAAGATAAAAAACAAGCATTGTTTGTCTTTGTTTCATTGAATAGTTTATTAATTGGATATGTTAAAAGTCACATCTACACATAATGAATAGTGAGTTTCAACCTATTCACAAGTCGTCGAAGCCAAGATTTTTTTAACCAATAGGAGAGGGTACCTCGATCGGTTTCACAAGCGTACAAGATAAAATACAGGATACTCAATGGGGCAAATAATCAACTGTATAAAGATTATTACATAATATATTATACTAGTATATACATGTATTTAAATGACATATTGTCAGGACATACATGTATGTTGTCGTGATATATGAATTCAATCAGCATTGGGATTTTAACCTAATCAACTATAACATTAATTAACTGAACCATGGACTGACGTTTTAAGTATACGAGGGCTGTCCAAAACATTCGTGCACTGCAGTTATTGTCGTGAGAGTTATTGATAGAAAAACATGAATTATATATCACTTGAAGGGGAGATCTGTCTCAATTGAGAAAACAACAGAAAAAACGTGTAACCGGCATGTCGTGAAAACGAATCGTCATACAGTTACCTTGGTAACGTAATACCGGCGCACGACAAAAAATTGGGTTACGTTACTTAATGATCATTCTTTTACACGAGACGCCGGTAAGCCGGCTTTTTCTTTTGTTTTCTTCTTTGAGACAGATTTCTCCTTCAATTGATATATAATTCATATGTTTTTATTAAAAACTCTCACGACAATAACTGCAGTGCACGAATTTTTTGGACAACCCTCGTAAATAAGTGTTTATAAGTAAGCATTATACAAAATTTTACAAAATTCAATTGGCAAGACAGGTGCATCCGATCAACCAATTTAATGTGGTAAATGCTTACTTCTAAATACGTTTGGAATTATTTTTATAAACAGTTGATTTACTACACTGATGAATATTTTGCCGATTTATCAAAGTGAATGAGTCATGGTCTATCCCTCTTTGAAAAAAAAAATCAACACTAAATACGTTTGAAAGCAAGTCATAATTAATACAGTAGTTAGTGTTTGAAATTATTTTTGTCCTATATGATTGCAGTATTTCAAATGAATCTTAACACATTTACTCTTGTAAATCGGCAAACTGTCAATCAGTGTTTATAGAAATAATTTAAAACACTAAGCTGGTTAAAATTTGTAAGTACGTTGTTATAAAATTAAATTTTGTCGCGCGGCTGTGCAGCGCCTGACCAATTTAATTTTGTAAATTCATTTCTAATAACTTTTAACCTATAATTAATATTCACAAAATAGTAGTCCGCAAATATAATGCAACACTTCGTGACACAGCATATGTTCACTGGATTTAAGAAAAACTGTGCAGTACATTTTATGCATAAACCATGGTCATTTGAAATCTATTTGATAAACATATACTCTTAGCGTTGATGAAAATTTATATACAATACTTACAGGCACATTGTACCTCAGAAATCTATATTTCTTAAATTCATTAGAAATGTCAAAAATGTGTTTAATAATGTTTTGATAATGGACTAAGCGCAAGTTAGATATTTACCAACAGAAGAAAGGTACTAATAAAGATAGCCAAATTTAAACAATTAGTATTTTGACTTCTATACAAATTACAGATTCAATGTAATGATACCAATTGCGAACATACCAAAATCAGCAAAACATAGTTTATGAATATGGCAAATGAGTATGTTTTGTAAACTGTAAAAAGATAATGTTAGAAATAAAAATGAACATATTGGGCCTTTAACTGATTATAATATCAAAATTTCAAACGATAATCATATTTACTGCCAAAATTCCTCTGCTGACGTCATTGACGTTTCCGTAGAATTCGCCAAAATACCAAACATTGAAGAATTCTGTCTCCCGTTCATGACATCTATGGACAAATCTGACGTCATGGGAATTGTAACTGACATCACAGAATCGTTTAATGATGGCATTCCTAGAAGTGATTGGTTACCGGCAATTGAACTTCCTCCACCAAGAGTGTCTTTACACAACTTTGTGTTCCAAGTATTAGTGCAAAGTGTCCAGGGAAGTGGATCTTGGAAAGCATTTATAAGAAAGTCAATGATCCAGCACCTCAATACAGTGGTACCAATCATCCACAGTGAATATGCTGCCACAATTGTTACCCCGATACCTTTTGGAGAAATGTTAGAGACAAATATATCAATATAATAATATTGTAACAAATAGAACTGGTACTCATTTTGTCTAATTAATTAGACTTGTCAAGATACATTATAAATTTGTTTGTACTGACTCCACACAGGCTTTTTCTATGCCATCAGTCAATTCAATAAGATGTTGGGGGCAATATGATGTTGGGGGTGATAAGCAATATGGCCTACAATACCTTAGTGACATTTATTTTTTGTAAATAAAGTCCCAATTTCAGTTTTCTAACAACAGTTGTAGTGTATCACTTGATTGTAATTTTGAATTGTTTTGTATTGCATAAAAAGTATATTTTGAATATTAACACGATCCAGTTTTTTAGCATTCTTACCAATTTGTTACCATAGCAACCACATTCCTCAACACAGGAAGAAAATAAACTAATGCGAATAATTTCCTAATTGCTATCTACCTATGTTGCAAGTTTCAGGAAAAGATTTTGTGTTGCTATAACATTTCTCAACACTGAATGATTTCGTTTTAAAATATGCAAAATTTCCGTACATGCATTACCATCTTTTCATGAAATGTCAGCCACCTACTTTCAATTTTATTACTTTGGATTTTTTACCCATATTAAACTGTTTAAAAAAAATAACGATTACACCATTTTAATTCAGTCTTTCGTTTAAAACGAATAATTACCTCTAAAAATTGGACTGACGTCCCATATCTTGTAGGGTCCTCTACCAGAGAATTTTGACAAGGAATATTCCAAGAAATACAACGGAAACCCACATAAAATTATCATTACAACGAATGGGATAAGAAACGCCCCTGAAAAGACAGAAAAAATGATATACTTATTCATTCATTTATTACAAATGCATATATTTATTATTATGTTTTTCTCTGATGGTTCAAACCCCGCAAGGGACTTTATATTCTTTCACGCGTTGAAGCCATCCAGCTAGCTTACTTCCACACATGTGCCCGTTTGTGCCTGAAATATTACACGGAAGAGCACCCGAGGTCTTACTCTACCTATAAAGCTTAAAAGTAGTCATATGACCTGTACCGAGTTGGCTTGACGTAAAATTTAACTAATAAATCATTTTCTGTTTCTTTATTTATGCATATGTTTTAACCTTTATTTATACATATGTTTTAACATGCATGTATTTAGTTGAGCTAAATTGTGAAAGCAGCTTAAATTATATCTTAACCACTTTTAGTAAACTTTCTTGAAATAGTCAGTATTGGTATCATATAAACAGACACTTTAACCACCAGGTCATATCTCCTTTTATTTCAATATGATTCATTCAAGCGGACTTATACATTATAAATTATTTCAACTCATTTCTTTACTGTTTAATCAAACAAGTATTCTTTCAGAAAGAAACTCTACGTTTACGGTTAGTGATAAATGAGACGCCAAAACGCGTGCAGCAGTAAAGAATTTTTTCAAAAGAGTATATGGATTGCACATGGTTGTAAGTTTATTTGTTGGCCAAAGATGTAAGAATCGTCACCGACACACTAAATAAACAAAATAAAATTATTTAATTTGTACAAATGTCCAAACAGCGTGTAAAATACATAGTACAACACAATTTACTACATAAAATCAATAAAATTAAGTCTTTAGTTTATAATACGCAATGGATTATAATAAAATTTAACTTTAACATTCTCTTTACAATTGATAACAGTTTGTGTATTTATATTTTGCAAAACCTAAAATAAGTAGGCTCAAAATTGATGGAATATGTTAAGGAAGGCCCATACAGAAATAAAACGGGTTTCCCGCTGAGACAAAAAACTCCGATAATAATTCTATACCCTAGCTAATTTTAACCATTTATATAAATATACCTCCGCCATTTCTATAAGCAAGGAAAGGAAACCTCCAGAAATCAGACATCCCTATAGAATATCCCAGTAGAGTCATATAGGTGCTGAAGGTTGATGTGAACTTGAACTTTTCTGTTTCAGCTTTCGTTGGCAAAGTTATATCTTCTTCAAACTTTATATCCATAGTTGTATCTGTTGGGTTAGTTGGTATCTTTTCGTAGTGTCCACGTTTTCCTACAACTATCATTGGCTGATCTTTTTCATTCAGCACGTGGAACCCGTTCTGCATATTTGCTTTTGACGCCATACTATCACCGTCCATTGTGATATATTTCCGTTATATTATTGTCAATCGCTCCTGAAATAAATAAACAATACAACAAATAAGCAGTGCAAAATTTCAATAACTTTCACATGTAAATTTTGATACAATACAACGCTGGCCTCTCAATTAAACATGACGTTATCATTACATCCCTATCAACATTGACATTGTCGTTAGCATTGTATCACCATTAACAACTCGTCATAATTAAACGCGTCGTTATTATAATTATAATATCATCCTCAACACTGAGGTCATTGTTGAACTTGTCGTTGTAATTTAATTTAAACACCATTAACATTGTCGTCATAATTGAACCATTATTTATATTATATTTACCATTATAATTATCATCACAAACGTGGTCCTCAAAACTAGACGTGTCGTTATCATTTTATCATCCTAAACGACACTGACGTCATACATGAACTTGTCGTTATCATCTTATTATCATTAACAACTAGAGATCTACTTTATTCTTCGAAATAGTTCATATAAAAAACTAAAGAGATTTATCTAACATATGAAATCGAAGTTAATTAGCATTCTCATAGAAGGCCAGAACATGTGATACATGTTGTATTGCATGTTCATGAACATGTTTTTAGTATTCAATTTGCTGATTTTATCCTTTATCCGATTTGAATGTGGTGCCAAACAATCACATAAATATTTTAAGTAAATTTACAAACTATTTCCCAGAAAAGTAGCGAAAGAACACACATTTTTATCCACATTTTCAAAATCTAGTTATACATAAATGCATTCTTACTATTTGTCACCTCACAAAAATAATTATTGCTAAATTTAAGGTATATGTTAAAGAAAGTTATTTAAATTACGAGTATCATAATTTTACGTTATAAAGAATGTCATGGTATTAAATCAACAAGGTTGAATGATGTTGAGAGATAGCTGAATAAAGGACAGGACATCTGTTTGACACTTACCACATTGCCCATTCACATAATCAAATGAAGTGTAACGGTACCAATTGTGCAATATAATGTGATACACGGTTAATAAAATTCTATCTGAAACACCCTGCCGTTTCAATTTAAATTACTGATGAAAAAGTCGTCTAATGATACTTTAATTTAAGCAGAGGATTTAAGCATGCCTTTTTATATCACTGAATTAGTTAGTACCGCATATTTTTTTATTTCTATTACAAATATCAAATTACGTTTCACGTACTTACTGCTTGAAGTTATGCCAAAATTATGCTTTTATATAAAGGCTTTTATGTCAGAATCGAATTCATCATTCAGAGTCTCTCAAATTTGATTTGAAGATTAGACCAAATGTTTAACAAAGCTGTTGAATGCTGTTAAAATAGATAAAATGTATTATTTCGCTACTGCCTTTTTGCCCTATGCAGAATACGCGTGCGCGAAATCCTACTTCCGTTTCTAGGGAAATATCGTACTGTAAAAAGGTCTGTAAAACATTTAAGTATATAGTTGGTTGGCAGAGGGTTTGAAAAAATGTATATGTAAAATAAAAGTTAATATCAGAAAAAGAGAGGAAAACAAGGAGAAAGTAAAATGTTTCTAGGCGACACTAACAGCATGACATTGACAAAAGAGGAATACCGTTCTTACGGAAATCTCTTGCTTTTATTGATAAATTTTGAACAAGGACAAGGACAGATTACTTTGTCACTCATGCTAAAGCCGCCATACAGTAATGTTTGCAGCGATACAGTACAGTAGTTTGATAGCGTGGTCATGAAACTTTCTCAAATAACATGTATAGGTTATATTGTGGGCAAACGAAAAAGAAATGGTGAGTAGTAACAGGAAGACCACTGTAACATAGTGACTGAGGAATGTTCTTTCTGAAAAGATGGTGATAAAGAGAACTATATCCAGTGCGAAGCCGCATGTGAAGAACTTGCAATTTTCTATTCCCAATGTAGAAATAACTTGAGCATTTATAATTATGTTTTAGTTTGAATTTGAAAGATGAGAGTTATGAAGAAATTCAAGTTCAAGTCCCGTATTACGGACAGTAGAAGGGAATTTCCATAAAGCATCGATCTTTTATGTGTAGGATTTGAATATCCTCGGCATTGCGTAAGTTTGTGATATGATACTGACGACACCTGATAAATATTTGTGGATAAAACGGTTATTTTTAACTAATAAATCATTTTCTGTTTCTTTATTTATGCATATGTTTTAACCTTTATTTATACATATGTTTTAACATGCATGTATTTAGTTGAGCTAAATTGTGAAAGCAGCTTAAATTATATCTTAACCACTTTTAGTAAACTTTCTTGAAATAGTCAGTATTGGTATCATATAAACAGACACTTTAACCACCAGGTCATATCTCCTTTTATTTCAATATGATTCATTCATTCAATTGAATATCCTCGGCATTGCGTAAGTTTGTGATATGATACTGACGACACCTGATAAATATTTGTGGATAAAACGGTTATTTGAGACTTTTGAAAAATGACTATTGTTTCAGATTTTGATAAATTGAAGGTAATAAGCCAACGAGAATCTATCAATATCTGATTGCAAATTTTTTGTAGCTGATTCTGGATAGTCGATGAGGAGATTTGTATCGTCAACAAATTAATGAACATCTGATTCTATATTATCGACACTGTCGTTGATATATACCAAAAAAAAAAACAAGTTGAAGCCTTTAGGAAACCCATCATTGACATGACCAATTTGACCTTGTACCGAGAAGAGGTACAGCTTGACGACAATCTGAGAGATAATCAGAAATCCACAAACAAAGAAATTTTCCCATTATACCGATTACCAAACCCTTTTCCAACGGCAAATATGCTAATTTTTCCCAGTCTTCATAAATAATTTCCAATTGAACTGAATTTCTCGAGATGAAAACTTACAAATTTGCTGGAGTTTATTCCGGTACTGTATCTGACAGATGTTTCCCTACATTTATCAAAGATTAATGTATTTTAATGTTTTGAATGATATTTGGATTGGTTGGGATAAACTGTCTGTACAATTCAAAATACAATACCAAGAGAGCATGAAGAAGGCTACAAAAGGTACCAAATATTTTTCCCAATTAAGCAATTTACGGCGCAAAACTTTCCAAACTGGGCAAGGTACTTTTTCCAAAATGGTTAAGAAAAGACCTTTATCCTGTCAAGCAGTTTGTTATTTTAAAATGAGAACCATGAACAGACTCAATCAAACCGAACCTGCAACATTTTCAATATTTCTTTAGGGATTCTGTTTTCTCTATTTTTTTGTGCCAAACTTTATCGAAAGCTTTGTTAATATCAAAGAAAGCTGTCCTGATCTCCAACCAATCATCTAGACTTTTACAAAATGTATTATAAGGCACGTAAGCTGATTGACGCCTGGTGCGAACCGGACTGTTAAGAGAGGAGAAAGTTGTTGTCCCGGAAGAAATTATAAAAGTGTTTCAATATAACGCGCTTAAAAAACTTTTCAGGACAGCAAAGTAGGGATATTAATGATAGCTTTTTGCATGGAAGAGTCGCCTTTCTGGAATGAAGCACAAACATGGGCTTCCTTCCAAAACAAAGAGACATTGCTTCAAATATTTCAAAGCATCTTCTACATCTTGTGGTGTTTATAATTTCAAGTTTGTTTTATGGTTCGTCAAAGTTAATTATTGGTAATGCTTTATCAGAGTTAATAAGTGGAGACTGACAAAAGAAAAAAAATCAGTAGAAACTAGATTTGAATTCGATGTCAAATAAGTTTAATCAATATGCGCTCGAGACCTGAGGATGCTAGATCAAGTATACGTGTATAGTCCAATGTGTCTTACACATATAGATCAACCCCGCCATACGATATATTCTCTCTGGTTGCGGAAAACGAGGTATACTAACGTAGCTAGAAGATGCATTTGATTTGAGTCATGCTCCTGAAAAATCAAGGACGCCAAAATTTACAAACTCGGGCTCAATGATGTCTCTTTTGTTTGCAATGTTTTGAACATATCCATTTTGTTGACACAGAAAAATACCTGTTATTTACCATCAAATATGACAATGAGGAAGGCAGTGATGAAATGTTTGAAAAAGACGAATCGCTTGAGTTTGTTGAGGACATAGGTCCTGAGTCACCAGATACCACAATAAGAAAATTCAGCCATGCATATGATTCAGAATACATCAGTACAGGAAGAATGTAACCCAAAAAGATTTCACTTAGCCTCGATTGTAGACCAGAGAGGAAAATTAATGTTTTCATAGGTTGTTGCCGTCATTTTAGTGTGCAAGACAAACATATAAATTAGATTTGATACAATGACAAAAATGATCATAGTGTGAAAGCGGATTGAGGATTTCCAGTAACAGTGGTAAGGTCGCATGACTGCTGGCAGGAACATTTATGTGATATTCATTAAGTTAATATTTCAATCGATTCGACAAGGCTTTTGTCATCTAGCACAATGCAGCTTTAATCGCTACCTTTAAAATTCTAAGAGCATGCTATATTTCTGAAAAAAAAAATAGAAATGTGTCGTCACGCCACAGATGTCCCCGCATGCAGCCAAAATTTTAGATGCTACAATATTGACAAATTTGTTTGCACAAATTATTTTTTTTTCATTTTTAAGTTCAAAGCCCTTTTAAAAAACTATTCAATGTAAACACAAACCATTTTTATACAAAGTTCAAGGCACTGAAACTATTCAGTGTTAACATTTTGTAAATTGCATATTGCATATTTGTAGCCAAATACATTTCCACAAAAGTATGAGAGCTGAAACTGAAAATCCAAAATTTTTCCAACATTTAAGAGAGATAACTTTGTCCAAAATCTTGAACCATGACCAAATTCGAACTTGAACTGGTTATTCCTAAGATGTATCTACATGTCAGATTTGAGTTGAATGTGTACAACCATTGGGGAGATAATGAACGGAAACTAAAAATTTCAGATTGTTTTCAAAGTTCAAGAGGGATAACTCTGTCTGCTATCAACAAACCCTGACCAAAAATCGAACTTGACCAGTGTATTCTCATGACATATCCATATGTTTAATTTGAGTTGAATATGAACAACAATATTGTTTGGGAGATAATGAACGGAAACTAAAAAATGTCAAATTATTTTCAAAATGAAAGGGGCATAACTCTGTCAAAACATCATCGAACCATGACCAAATTCAAACTTGACCTGCGCATTCCTTTGACGTATCCATATGTCAAATTTGAGTTGAATGTGAAGTACCGTTTGGGAGAAAATGAAAAGAAACTGAAAATTTCATATTATTTTCAAAGTGAAAGGGGCATAACTCTGCCAAAAAATCATCGGACCGTGACCAATTTCAAACTTGACCTGCGCATTCCTTTGACGTATCCGTATGTCAAATTTGAGTTGAATGTGTAATACCGTTGGGGAGATAATGAATGGAAACTGAAAATTTCATCAAGGGGCATAACTCTGTCAAAAATCATCGGACCATGATATATCCATATGTATCATTTGAGTTGAATGTGTGCAACCGTTACTAAGATAATGAACGGAAACTGATGGTGACGGAATGAGGGAACAGGATAACACAATATGCCCCAGCCATTTTATGGCGGGGGCATACAAATTACATTATGTGTTATATATAGAGTTAGTTATCATAATGTCCCAGTGACATATAAATTTGACATCAAGACATAAATTACATAACTGATCAATCTTGCATTACAAAAAAGTGAGTTCCAGCTACGAGCATGGTAGTTTAATACACCAAAACAATCGACAAAAATGACATAAATATACATGAAGTTCATATCCGTCCGAAGTACCATATCACTCTACCGCCAAAGTAACATATATATATATATATATATATATATATATATATATATATATATATATATATATATATATATATATATATATATATATATATATTATATATATATATATCACTCTATGTATTTTATACTAAAGTACGCACTGATTGAATATATCCAGATTTAATATGACTCGATACTTTTGTAAGTATGTTTTATAGGTACCCTGTTCAGATGTGTACGATATTGCAATCAAAAATACATATATAGGAGGCTAGCCGATACCGGCGGTTTACCATAGACATTAACCAATTAACGTTTCCTAAGCATATTTTGCATGACGTAACGATCGAATATTTAAATGGATACTTTAATTATATGCATAGTTCATGCAAAGTTCGTAGCAATTTCATAACAACACAATTTAGTTGCACGACGGTTATATCAAAATGCTACTTGAATCAACTAGATACCTGGCAAATAAATGTACAAGTGTTCGTCATAAAATACAATACAAAATGTGTTTTTGTCAATACTGTGTATATGTTTTATTTTGCATGTTCAAAATATTTTTTTAAATAAACAAAAATATCTTGTTCATGCGCATTTTACTTGTACGTCAAGCATTTCTGGTTGCAAAGTTATTTTCAATGTGTGAGTCAAATATAAAACTGAGAAAAGATTTAACGAAGATCATATTTATTACTGACATATATTTCTTTGATAATATAAAAATTATATTTTGTCATTATATTTATATAAACAGACTTAAAACATTGATATAATGGGCAAATCAGTAAAATACACTTTTACCATTTAGACAATTAAAGACAAATAGTCTTTGTATTCAAACTGTATATAAAAAGAAACTAAAACTGGATCGGTAATATTTGACACTCATACTTACCTTACGTATGGCAAATTAATCCAGAAATAACAAGGCAGACGTGATCATATCATAACGTAATAATGTTAATGAAGATAACGGTTTCATTATGGGTCAACTCTTGATATAAGAGTGTTATATAATACATTGTACTAAACTGTATGTACAAATTACTAATTTATTCAAAGCAATGTCTTCGTGCGTTTAGGTAGATTTTAAGTCACTTAATGGGGATCATGGGTTCAAAAATTGATAGTCTGGAGCAATATTAGGGCACTAAGTTCATGTTCGTTAAAGTTGAATCAAAGTACTATCAAATATTTGTTCAAGCTATCTTTACTGAAACAAAAAACATCTAAGTTAATAAATTACACGTTTCTCTTATATCCTTTAAGATATCTTTGTTGTATGTTTATGAATAATTTCTTTGTTTGAAATTGTTTGTAATTTTCAATACAGTGGCTTAAACATTATTGGAACAGTTTCATTGCAATCAAACAATAACAAGGATTATCGTTTCCATTCTGTGATGAAAAAGATAGGTATACATGTTAACGCGTTCACCTGCACGGTATGCACTTTTATCTGACGTGGCGAGGAAAACAAAAGTTGTCTGGAGAATTGTTAGTAGTAGGGAATGTTTTTTTTACCTATTGTTTAGGTAGATATACTTTACAAATAAAATGCAAACCATCTTTAAAATTTAACAATATGTATTTGACAAATTATAATCGTTAAACGTGAAACATATTTGAATGTTATTCATATTTAAATGTTGAATTCTGCTTAAGCCGGTGCTAGGGGGCGTGGTCGGTAGTTTGCACTTGACAGTACCATCCATGAACAGGCTCAAACAAACCGAGCCTGCAACATTTTCTATTTTAGAGTTACTTTAGGGATTTCTCTATTTTGTAAGTTGAACATTTGCGATATGTGGATGACACAATACGATTTAAGAATGAGTCATTCAAGAATAAATGGGACAATATTATTTTTTTTCCAACTAACAAACTATCTCTACATTTCCTAAATATAGGATCCACCCATTTCAACGAAGAGTGTCCGTTTGTCATTTTAATGTATATAATAAACGATAATGCTTTAAAAGTTCATTTAAAACTTTATATTTCTTTAAATTTTATAGTAAATTTGCCAATAACTTAAAAATATACAAGTCGATTCATGTAATTAGCAGTGTAAAATAATTCTGATTATCCACCTACCTATGTCTGTACAGATCTAATCTAGGGTTGGAATAGGGGAAAAGGTGGCATTGGTTACAGTTTAATGATTATATATAATACTATATCGAAAACTTATAACAAAACTCGGGTCTAGACGTCACTGTTCACAGTAAGTCTGTAAGATATCATTACCAACGTAAAACTGAAGGTACTGACGTTCTCTTTCCATTCTTAATCATAAGTAGATTTACCTTTCTGACTTGTTTCAACGGTAATTTGGTAATGTTAATGATTTATTTTTTCATAAATCGAATTTAAAACAAGCAAATTCGTTGAATTTATATCCCCCGCCGAGTACTGGTTATAACTAACACAACAACTGAAGACATAAGGCTTTATTTATATATTTATCATGGCATAAACAGTAATATTCTTTGTACATGATAAATATTCAGGGCAATAACAGAGCCATAACTCTGTGTTAAATAGTAATATCTGGACATGCCAATGAGATGTAAATTGCCTTTTTGTATCCATGGTTGCCATAAAGTTTTGTTGAAATTAATACCGCAGTTACAAAGGAATAGCAATATTGCTCTATATGCATACTAAATAACTAATTAAGGGCCATAACTCTGTAATGAAGGGTCTGGTCTGAACAAGGCAACAATATGCACATCTCCGCTAGGTTTTAATGGTTCCCATAAGTTTAATTGAATTCTAGCCAGTAGTTGCAGAGAAGTTGCGTGGAAACAATTATTGCTTTATATGTCTACTGCATAACTAATCAAGGGCCATAACTACTAGTTAAAATGTCTGACCTGAACAAGGCGATGATATGCGCATCTCTTCTTGATACTGAACATTCCCATAAAGTTTGCTCTATATGCATACTGCATAATTAATCAAGGGCCATAACTCTGAGTTATTGTGTCTGACTGGAACAAGCCGACGATATACGCATCTCCTCTTGATATTAATGATTCCCATAAAGTTTCATTGAATTTCAGCCATTAGTTGCAGTCAAGTAGCGCGGAAACGATTTTTGTTCTATATGCATACTACATAACTAATCAAGGGCTATAACTCTGAGTTAAAGTGTCTGACCGGAACAAGCCGACGATATGCGCATCTCCTCTTTGTATTAAAAGTTCCCATGAGTTTCATTGAATTCCAGCCAGTAGTTGCAGAGAAGTAGCGAGGAAACGATTTTTGCTCTATATAAATACTGCATAACTAATCAAGGGCCATAACTCTGAGTTAAAGTGTCTGACCGGAACAAGCCGACGATATACGCATCTCCTCTTGATATTAATGCTTCCCATAAAGTTTCATTGAATTTCAGCCATTAGTTGCAGAGAAGTAGCGCGGAAACGATTTTTGTTCTATATGCATACTACATTACTAATCAAGGGCCATAACTCTCAGTTAAAGTGTCTGACCCAAACAGGCCGACGATATGCGCATCTCCTCTTTGAATTGAAAGTTCCCATTAGTTTCATTGAATTCCAGCCAGTAGTTGCAGAGAAGTAGCGAGGAAACGATTTTTGCTCTATATAAATACTGCATAACTAATCGACGGCCATAACTCTAAGTTAAAGTGTCTGGCCGGAACAAGCCGACGATATGCACATCTCCTCTTGGTATTGAAGATTCCCATGAAGTTTCATTGAATTCCAGCCAGCAGTTGCAGAGAAGTAGCGAGGAAACGAATATTGTTCTTTTTGCATAATGCATAACTAATCAAGGGCCATAACTCTGAGTTAAAGTGTCTGACCGGAACAAGCCGACGATATGCGCATCTCCTCTTGGTATTGAAGGTTATCATAAAGTTTCGTTGAATTCCAGCCAGTAGTTGCAGAGAAGTAGCGCGGAAACGATTTTTGCTCTATATGCATACTGCATAACTAATCAAGGGCCATAACTCTGAGTTAAAGTGTCTGACCAGAACAAGGCGACGATATGCGCATATCCACTTGGTATTGAAGGTTCCCACAAAGTTTCGTTTAAGTGCAGCCAGTAGTTGCAGAGAAATAGCGCGGAAACGATTTTTGCTCTATACGCATACTGCATGACTAATCAAAGGCCATAACTTTGACCTAAAGGGTCTGACTGGAACAAGACGACGATATGCGCATCTACTCTAGATATTGATGATTCCCATGAAGTTCCGTTGAATTCCAACCAGTAGTTGCAGAGAACTAGTGCGGAAACGAAATTCGGACGGACGGACAACGCCAAACAATATCCCCCTTCCGATTCCATCGGCGGGGGTTAATAATATTTTGCGTCGCTTGTAAGAAAGTTGACATGGGCATAAACAGGTCAACGGCTTAAATATGTTTTTTGTTTTTTTTGTTTGTTTTTTTTGTTTAACTTGCCTGCGATTTTGTTTGGAAACTTTTTTTGTTTTTTGTTTTTGTTTAACTTGCCTGCGATTTTATTTTGGAAACAAATATTTCCTCCAAATATATTAGTATGCGTGAAATTGAGATAAGACGCAAAATTTGGCATCTTTCGTCAGGCATTTTGAAAAAGAAACCTGCTAGGTATTAAATGTATGTAAATAGGTCCAGAAAATAGCGAAATTGTCCGTGCCAAATTGTCCGAAATAATTCAAATGGATACAATTTAAAACTTGCCATTCATGCACATACGTGTTCTTTTATTATCAAAAATAAAGTAATTACAATTTGTCTCATGTTCAAAGGTTCACACCCTTTTTATTTGCTATACACAAGTTTTGCTATAAATGAACGACTCGGACGACTCGACCATAACTTTAGGCCGTTTGTTTTCAAATGGCGGGTACAATAAACTTTAGTTCTGTTGAAGTATGATCAAACCCTGTTATCTAACTGGTTAAAAGAGGACACTTATAAGCCATTGAATTACAATACTTTTATGTCAAAATGTAACAAAACATGTTTTTGTTATTGTTTTCTTTCAACTCTCCAAAAATGACAAGTTACAATGGGAAATCAAAAGATTATTAGCTGTTGTTTGCATAAATGATGATAGTGAAACCCTTCCCCAAAACGGGTACCCCTTGAACAACGTATGGAGAGCATAATTCATGACTCCATCCCTACCCTGACAAAGCCAATATTTCAAAATAAAAAAAAAAGATACCCCCCCTCCCCCCACCCAAAAAAAAGTCGCTCACCAGAAACAACTGCTTTTCAGTGTTGGAATGTCAATATATTCATATATTAAATTTGAGCATAGAATATATTTAAACAATAATTTGAAGAAATGCCATGACCTCGGGCATTTAAGCTTTAGCTTAAACGGGGCTAATCAAATTAATATGAGCAAACTTGATAAAAGACTACCTAAGAATACAACAAAGTTTAGTGATCATCTATCAATTATTTCAGTAGGAAATGATGTTTGGAGGTTTTTTTCTATTTTTAGCTTTAGTGGCCTCTAAAAGGGGCTAATCAAATGAATATAAGCAAACTTGATAAAAGAGTACCCGACAAAGTTTGGTGATCATCCATCAATTGGTTCTGAAGTAGAAGATGTTTAAAGGTTTTTCTATTTTAAGCGGCCTCTAAAAGGGGCCAATCAAATTAATGTGAGCAAACTTGATAAAAGAGTACCCAAAAATGCTACAGACAAAGTTTGGTGATCATCCATCAATTGGTTCTGAAGTAGGAGATGTTTAAAGGTTTTTCTATTTTTAGCGGCCTCTAAAAGGGGCCAATCAAATTAATGTGAGCAAACTTGATAAAAGAGTACCCAAAAATGCTACAGGCAAAGTTTGGTGATCATCCATTAATTAGTTCTTTAGGAGAAGATGTTTAAACGTATTTCTATTTTTAATTTTAGCGGCCCCTAAAAGGGGCTAATCAGATTAATATGAGCAAACTTGATAAAAGACTACCCAATAATGCTACAGACAAAGTTTGGTGATCATCCATCAATTGGTAATG